AGGAGGGGGCTGAGCACACACCACTGTGGGGCCCCAGTGTTGAGGATCAGCATGGTGGATGTGTTGTTGCCTACCTTCACCACTTGGGGTCGGCCCGTCAGGAAGTCCAGGACCCAGTTGCACAGGGACAGGTTCAGACCCAGGGCTTAGTGATGAGCTTGGAGGACACTATGGAGTTGAAGGCTGAGCTGTTAAACACATTTAAAATCCACCTACGCTTGTTAAACACATTTAAAACTAATAAGCTGAAATGTGTCCATTTCAAAAAGCAAAAAGCTTTCAGGGTATGGTGGAAGGCACAATGGAGCAAGGTATACATTTTGTGCTTATTTTTGTCTTAATAGGGTAGTACTTTGATAAGACTGACTCGTCAATCATCGGTGAGGACTGTTCATCATTGTATTGGAAACCAGGGCAGTCTGGCTGACAGCAAAGGTTGCACAGTCAGAAATTGAGGTTCCATAGAGCTATTCCGTTACAACATACTGCCACCTACTGGGTATAGAGGACAAGTGCATCCTAGAGAAAGAGGTGGAAGCACTCTTACCCACAAAAAAGTTCCATTAAAGGAAAAGGATAAAAAAGTTAAAGTGCGAAATTATTTAACATTGGCAAAACAATGGAAGAAATACAATTTTATTTAAAACACATTTATACCAAATATCGGGTTTGTTACAAAGTTAGTGTTTATGAGAAACAAAAAATACTTTTAAAAGTATATTTTTTGAAGTGAGTCTAATTTAGTTAGTTTGTAGGTTTCATTTGTTTTAATAATTTATTTCTAAAGAGTTGCATACACAGTACAGTAGTTTGTCAAACACCACCTGTATTCCCAGTGCAAGTTACTCTTCCCTCATCCTCACGCCACTCCTTAAATTTCCCTCCCTTCCCCAATTCATTTCTCCTCTCGCCGAACCTCCCCGGCGGACTGCGAGATCTGTGGCTAAATAGTGGATTGCGCTGGCCAATCCAATAGATCAAATCACCGCGCCTACGGCTTCCACGACCCCAGCCACAGCAAAGTTTGATACTAGAGTAGCCTACGTGAGACTTCATAACTTTTAAAACCATGACGAGAGAGAGACTGTCAAAGAATACAGCAAAGAGCTGCTGTTTTTATGAGTGAGTTCATGTCTACGTTTATTCAGCACTGTCAACACTGTTTTTATTCAACACTATTACAAAACATAAAAATGCGAGTCTCCCTACAGTGTGATTCTGCAACTTCGGGCACTTTGGGCCCTGCAAGCTTTCAGAAATTAAAACTGTTTGAAACACCATTTTACTAGTATTATAATTGTCTTTGATTTGTCTAGAAACAATATCTGATAATGGCTTGGATCATACTATTCAGGAATGTACACTGCTCAAAAAAATTAAGGGAACACTTAAACAACACATCCTAGATCTGAATGAATGAAATAATCTTATTAAATACTTTTTTCATTACATAGTTGAATGTGCTGACAACAAAATCACACAAAAATTATCAATGGAAATCAAATTTATCAACCCATGGAGGTCTGGATTTGGAGTAACCCTCAAAATTAAAGTGGAAAACCACACTACAGGCTGATCCAACTTTGATGTAATGTCCTTAAAACAAGTCAAAATGAGGCTCAGTAGTGTGTGTGGCCTCCACGTGCCTGTATGACCTCCCTACAACGCCTGGGCATGCTCCTGATGAGGTGGCGGATGATCTCCTGAGGGATCTCCTCCCAGACCTGGACTAAAGCATCCGCCAACTCCTGGACAGTCTGTGGTGCAACGTGGCGTTGGTGGATGGAGCGAGACATGATGTCCCAGATGTGCTCAATTGGATTCAGGTCTGGGGAACGGGCGGGCCAGTCCATAGCATCAATGCCTTCCTCTTGCAGGAACTGCTGACACACTCCAGCCACATGAGGTCTAGCATTGTCTTGCATTAGGAGGAACCCAGGGCCAACCGCACTAGCATATGGTCTCACAAGGGGTCTGAGGATCTCATCTCGGTACCTAATGGCAGTCAGGCTACCTCTGGCGAGCACATGGAGGGCTGTGCGGCCCCCCAAAGAAATGCCACCCCACACCATGACTGACCCACCGCCAAACCGGTCATGCTGGAGGATGTTGCAGGCAGCAGCCGTGGTCCAGACTCTGTCACGTCTGTCACGTGCTCAGTGTGAACCTGCTTTCATCTGTGAAGAGCACAGGGCGCCAGTGGCGAATTTGCCAATCTTGGTGTTCTCTGGCAAATGCCAAACGTCCTGCACGGTGTTGGGCTGTAAGCACAACCCCCACCTGTGGACGTCGGGCCCTCATACCACCCTCATGGAGTCTGTTTCTGACCGTTTGAGCAGACACATGCACATTTGTGGCCTGCTGGAGGTCATTTTGCAGGGCTCTGGCAGTGCTCCACCTGCTCCTCCTTGCACAAAGGCGGAGGTAGCGGTCCTGCTGCTGGGTTGTTGCCCTCCTACGGCCTCCTCCACGTCTCCTGATGTACTGGCCTGTCTCCTGGTAGCGCCTCCATGCTCTGGACACTATGCTGACAGACACAGCAAACCTTCTTGCCACAGCTCGCATTGATGTGCCATCCTGGATGAGCTGCACTATCTGAGCCACTTGTGTGGGTTGTAGACTCCGTCTCATGCTACCACTAGAGTGAAAGCACCGCCAGCATTCAAAAGTGACCAAAACATCAACCAGGAAGCATGGGAACTGAGAAGTGGTCTGTGGTCACAACCTGCAGAACCACTTCTTTATTGGGGGTGTCTTGCTAATTGCCTATAATTTCCACCTGTTGTCTATTCCATTTGCACAACAGCATGTGAAATGTATTGTCAATCAGTGTTGCTTCCTAAGTGGACAGTTTGATTTCACAGAAGTGTGATTGACTTGGAGTTACATTGTGTTGTTTAAGTGTTCCCTTTATTTTTTTGAGCAGTGTATATATTGAGCCTTCCACAAGCTTCCCACAATAAGTTGGGTGAATTTTGGTCCATTCCTCCTGACAGAGCTGATGTAACTGAGTCAGGTTTGTAGGCCTCCTTGCTCGCACACGCCTTTTCAGTTCTGCCCACACATTTTCTATAGGATTGAGGTCAGGGCTTTGTGATGGCCGCTCCAATACCTTGATTTTGTTGTCCTTAAGTCATTTTGCCACAACTTTGGAAGTATGCTTGGGGTCATTGTCCATTTGGAAGACCCATTTGCGACCAAGCTTTAACTTCCTGACTGATGTTTTGAGATGTTGCTTCAATATATCCACATAATTTTCCTTCCTCATGATGCCATCTATTTATGAAGTGCACCAGTCCCTCCTGCAGCAAAGCACCCCCACAGCATGATACTGCCACCCCCGTGCTTCACGGTTGGGATGGTGCTCTTCGGCTTGCAAGGACCCCCTTTTTCCTCCAAACATAACGATGGTCAATATGGCCAAACAGTTCTATTTTTGTTTCATCAGACATTTACATTTTAGTCATTTAGCAGACACTCTTATCCAGAGCGACTTACAGTTAGTCAGTGCATACATTTTCATACAGACCAGAGGATATTTCTCCAAAATGTACGATCTTTGTCCCCATGTGCAGTTGCAAACCGTAGTCTGGCTTTTTTATGGCGGTTTTGGAGCAGTGGCTTCTTCCTTGCTGAGCGGCCTTTCAGGTTATGTCGATATAGGACTTGTTTTACTGTGGATATAGATACTTTTGTACCTGTTTCCTCCAGCATCTTCACAAGGTCCTTTGGTGTTGTTCTGGGATTGATTTGCACTTTTCGCATCAAAGTACGTTCATCTCTAGGAGACAGAACGAGTCTCCTTCCTGAGCGGTATGACGGCTGCGTGGTCCCATGGTGTTTATACTTGCATACTATTGTTTGTACAGATTAACGTGGTACCTTCAGGCGTTTGGAAATTGCTCCCAAGGATGAACCAGACTTGTGGAGGTCTACAATTTCTTTTCTGAGGTCTTGGCTGATTTCTTTTGATTTTCCCATGATGTCGAGCAAAGAGGCACTGAGTTTGAAGGTAGGCCTTGAAATACATCCACAGGTACACCTCCAATTGACTCAAATGATGTCAATTAGCCTACCAGAAGCTTCTAAAGCCATGACATAATTTTCTGGAATTTTCCAAGCTGTTTAAAGGCACAGTCAACTTAGTGTATGTAAACTTCTGACCCACTGGAATTGTGATACAGTGAATTATAAGTGAAATAATCTGTCTGTAAACAATTGTTGGAAAAATTACTTGTGTCATGCACAAAGTAGATGTCCTAACCGACTTGTCAAAACCATAGTTTGTTAACAAGAAATGTGTGGAGTGGTTGAAAAACGAGTTTTAACGAAATATTTCCACCCAACCCTTTTATGATAACAACCATATGATTTCCCTAGCTAAAACAAATCAATCAATGTAAATTATGCATAGTATAAAAAATATGAGTTTGGTGGAAATGACAAGGTGTGGTGGAAATGACATCTATGTAAAAGAAACAAAAAAACATTTTGAACAACAACCATTGTTAAACATTGAATTAATATAAGACAAAGTAAGATTCCAAAAGTAGCCGATGGGCAGAGTTCAAGGAAGTAGGCCTGTGTTTTCGAGAGATGGGCCCAGATATCAGAGGGGTCATGCCATGAGAGATGGGCCCAGATATCAGAGGGGTCATGCCATGAGAGATGGGCCCAGATATCAGAGGGGTCATGCCATGAGAGATGGGCCCAGATATCAGAGGGGTCATGCCATGAGAGATGGGCCCAGATATCAGAGGGGTCATGCCATGAGAGATGGGCCCAGATATCAGAGGGGTCATGCTGCATAGAAGAGCTCAGTGAGCAAAGTGAAACTGTATCATTTGTGGTATATCCAACACACGTGTGGAGGGTCACCTGCTTGTGAGAATCACCAAAGTGAATTGCCTGGATTTCACTGGTGTATTTACACAGGTAGTTCTCTGCAAAGTCAATATGCACGATGATCTCCTCTTTCCGCATATTCTTTTCTAATTCTCTCAGTTTGGAGTATTGGTATCGAATGTTGTACACGTGTTTCCCAACTTCTCTTTCAATCCTTTGGCGAAGTCCTCCAGTAGTATCTGCAGTGTGCCACACACCTTTTCTTTTACTGTAAAATGTACAGTGAACTTCTCCATGTTTTTTTTTTTCTCTCTCTCTCTCTCTCTCTCTCTCTCTCTCTCTCTCTCTCTCTAAACCACTGTCTGCTCACCAGCATCAAAGGCAGATGTTTAAGCTCTTTTGCTTGGCAAAGTGAGCACTCTCTGTACAACGACTCAATAAGGTTCTCAATGTTGTTGCAGCTGATCACTTTGTGATAATGTAGTTTTTCTGCCATGAACTGGAGGTTAGCGTGGGTTTGCAGAGGAAAAATGACAGGCTGTTTAGCATGCTTTAGCTAGTATTACAACCAGCATATAGTTTACATTAAATACATAAAATATAAAGATGTTTTACAAAATTCCACAAATTAAAGAAACTTGGTTACCATGGAAACATATTGTGACACTGAAAAATCTAGGTAAATATTGCTTGTGTACAGAATATTTTTGTCAGTCATTTCCAAACAGGCTATAATATATATAATATATTATATATACAGTGATCCCTCGCCACTTCGCGGTTCACTTATCGCGGATTCGCTATTTCGCGGATTTTCATAATGCATTTTTTTTTTTTTGGTGCATTGTGCTCTGCATTCTGATTCGCTAAAAACTCACTCCCGCTTCTTGTATCAAAACATGCTACGAATTGTGCTATCATTTTGTCGTCTCGTGCAGTTATGTGTACGTACATAAAACAGCTTGGCAAATTTACATTAAGTTGGCCAAATTATCTTGTAATTTCGAACATCTCCTAAACCCATAATGTCGACGAAACGGCCTGGACCGACAAAAGCACCTGCGGATGGGCCCAAACGGCGGAAGATGCTACCTATCTCAGATAAAGTTAAACTTCTGGACATGCTAAGGGAAGGTAAATGACAAAGCCACAAAGCGACGATGAAAGAGAAGAGGGAGAAGAGGACACGAGAGATGAGGAGGAAGGACTAACGCTTGGTCGCTTAGCAACCATGGTGCGAATGGCCACTGAACTTAAGCGAGTAGCTGAGGAATGGGACCCTTTGATGAGCCGTTCATTACAGTTCTCCAACGTAATCGATGGTGGCATGTCGGTGTACAAGGATCTTTTTGCAAAGAAGAAAAAAGAGCGACAACAGCTGCCTATCACTATGTTCTTCTCCCGAACAAACACACCTGCACGGCGGGCTTCAGAAGAAGAGAACACTGCAGAGCGCAGTCAGGATGCAGCGGCCCAGTCTGAAGAGCAGTGAAACGGCCTACACGTGAGTCACTGTATTTGTATACATGTAATAGTTGCTAATTGTAAAAAAAAAAAGTTTTCTATTTCGCGGATTTCACTTATCGCGGGTCATTTTCGGAACGTAACCCCCGCGATAAACGAGGGATTACTGTAATATATATATAATATAGGCTATAATAGCCTGTTTGGAAATGACTGACAAAAATATTCTGTACACAAGCAATATTTACCTAGATTTTTCTTCAACTTCTGGACATCACATCTGGAACAACTGTCAGCTGCAGCCATGTGCTTCAGTGTCACAATACGTTTCCATGGTAACCAAGTTAACATTCTCTTGAAAAAACTTTATTAATGAGGAATTTGTCCTCAGTGGTGGAAATGACACCACTACCAAAGGACAGGTATATTTTGTGTAAAAAACGATATAAAAGGGTATACTCACAATAAATATTGAAATAGATTTTATTGACTTTTTCTCTAGTAGATAACATTATATAATGTGTAATTAATGTTTTCTCATAGACAAACATAGTAGAAGCTCAAAGGTCGGTCAGGGACAAGGGCAAAACAGTGACATGTAGGTATAAAATGCATCTGAAAAGTAGCTAAAATACTTGATAGAGAGGTGTTAAAAAAGTCTGGGGTGATTGTAGTGTGAACTTAACATGTAACTAAACATTTTTAAAAATACAATTCCTAAAAATGTAGCCCGAGGACATAGAAGTACCCGTAGTTGCAGAATCACCCTACTATGAGTAGCCAGGTGTATCGATATCCCTGCGTTAGTATTATTATTAGCAGCCCATCATGTGTATTTTAATATTGAGGAATATTTCACTTTCTCTAGTCATAGGAACAACATAAATTTGTGCATGAGGCAGATGCAGTGCGACTCGAGTTTCGCCTTCAGGTGGAAGACGGTTTCCCCTCTCTCTGGTCAGTCTCACCGGAGGAAAGGAAGGGGAGAGCAGGGACAGTGAGAGGCAAACCCTCTGCTGCTCTCTCGCTCCCTCTGCTGAGACTAATGCCGTGTTCAAAACAACTGGCAACTCGGAAATCTCAGACTTCCGAGCGTTCAAGACAACTGCGAACTCGGGGAAAAAATGAGATCCGAATGGAAAAAATCGTTTTGAGCGGTCATCCAACTCGGAATTCCAAGTCGGAAACTCAAGCATCTTTCTAGAGCGCTGACGTTCCGACCTGAAGATCACTCGTTGACCTCGTTTTTTTTTCTGAGTACCCAGTTGTCTTGAAAGCACCATGACCATCAAATGCAGGTACCATCAGTCCAGTAAAATAAAAAAGCAAATTATTTGCAAATTATTTCAATTTATGCTCACCTGTGCCTCGCAAGTGCTACACCAACTGATCTATTTTATTATCAAAGCTCGAGTTTTGAAATATAATATGGTCTGAGAATAACAATATTGGCAGGCCAGGCATATAGCCAATATGCTGTGATAATGTATTAGGCATACTGCACAAACCTCATTCCTACATAACTGTTTTTATTAGGTTAATGTAAAAAAAGTCATGTTTAAAAGAAATCTGAGCGGTAGATCTTGGCTTGCTTTTTGACTACGAAAGTGATATTGACTCAGAAAAGGTTGGTGACCACTCCCCTTTTCTCCTCCCCCTTCGACCGCTCTTCCTCCTCACTCTCTCCAGCTCAGCCCCAGTGTCTGAGCGATGAAGGAGAAGATGTGTGTATCCTCCAGGATGGCCTTAGTGGTAGGCTTGCCCGCCCCGTGCCCGCTGCAGGTGTCCACCCGGACCATGAGAGGCTGGCGCTGCCCGGAGCTGCTGCCCACACCGTGCTGCAGTGTGGCACAGTACTTCAGGGTGTGGAGGGGCACCACCCTGTCATCATGGTCGGCAGTCAGTAGGAGCATGGCAGGGTAGGCAGCGCCAACGTGAGGGGCAGGGGGGAGGTTGTGGAGAGGGGAGTACCTGAGGGTGAGTGGAGGGAGAGATAAAGAATTGAGTTCTACCAAATACAAATTACGAATGCGGCGTCCAATGCAAGTGTTCACGTTCAGTATGTGATGTATGTTTAGTTTGTGTGTGTGATTGAGTATGCCAGACTTACTTGATGAGCCATTTGAACTGCTCAGGATGGTCTGCACAGCCATAGTCAGTGGTCCAGGCGTGGCCGATGGTGAACTTGTGGAACTTGAGCATGTCCATCACCCCAACCTTAGCCACAGCACAGCCAAACAGGTCCGGACACTGGTTCACACACGCCGCTGGGTTTGAAAGTGTGTGTGAGAGAGCGATAGAAATAGATAGATACTGAAAGACATGTCTTACACTTGTTATATGTGTAATTACACTTCTTAAACATACCCAACTCACTCTTTGACAAGTACACACACACACACACACACACACTACAGCAACATCCAATCTTTCCTAAATGGCCAGACACACTGGTGGGATTGTAAAACGTTTGCCTGTCGACAGTACTTAGCACCTCTGAAGAGTGTCGGCAGTCAATCTCTTGTGTTCACACAACAAAGACCTTGGATGTCGTCACCCACTCAGCCTTGTTGAAACACTCCAAACCAGAATGTAGCAGTAGTGTTGTTTGGCAATGCATATCTGTGCGTATTGCTTATGGTCTAGAGTCCAAGCTGTCTGCACTAATGTTATTTTGTAGAAAGCCCTTTCTTATTTAGTTAGCTAACGTTAGCATATTCGCTAGCTAGCACAACATAGCAAGATAGCTAGCTAAGAACACTGCACTAACTCGCCAGCTAACACAAACAGCTGTTTTATGAAAACTAGCAAATCCATTGTGATTTAATTATAATGTCAATCAGAGCTGCCAACTCTCAAGCGTTGGCCGTGAGACACGCATTTGACCCTCTTCTCATGCTCTCACGGCATACCTCTTATATCTCACACATGGAAAAGTACTGCTTTTATTTTTCTAATTAGTTTGATAAAAAACCAACCTCAAGATTAGTGGAACTGAATGGAGAGAGAGAACATTCTCAGCTGAGTTTATAAAACTGTAAAAAGAGCAGCACGGTAGTGCTGTTTATGTACAATGTCGTCAACAAAATTAGGTTGCTTTTAGTCCTGTCCCTATTATTGCAGAATTCAGCCTTTTGACAGCATGTACTAAAGTCGATTTAATCCACACTTGCATTAGTCCCTTCCTTTGGTGATTGGCATTTAGGCTGTGACAATGAAAAGGCAGCAGACAGACCTACAGTCTGTTTTAGCAGGGAAGTTTGGTAGTGTGACCTGATTTGTAACTATGAAAATCATTTTGTCAAACAGATTGTGAACCGAAAAGTGGAGGGAAAATAGAGGATAGAAAAATTATTTGGTTAGGGTGTAGGGGCAGATTTATGTCCTCTTGTCTTCAGGAGATTTGTATTATCTATTGACTTTATTTAGTCTGATCAGTGGAACAATGGGCTAAAAGGGTAATTACTGTGCTTGTCAGCAAGAACACTACTGTTATTCCCCACACTTATTTTATTATTCCACTTCTTCCCAATTTTGCCAGTGTAATCAAATATCTGAAATTTGATATGCCTACTTGTCTTAAAAAATTAATTATATGAGGCTATGTATTATTGAAGCCATTCATGGACAGTTTTAAATAAGTCATACAAATAAGCATTGGATATTAAATGCTCCAGGAATCAAATATAATTTGACATTTTAGTATTGTGCACATGCTAGGCAGAGATGGTAGTGGGACTCAACTCATAAATGCATCATATATCTATGTATCATATGTCTATGTAGAGTAAGATGATGACAAGGATCTTAAACTAGTAGACATAAACCACCTGAATATTGATATTCATTAGATTTTTCTTGAAGATTGGGTGATTGAAAATGTTCCAAAATCATGGCCATTAATATGGAGTTGGTCCCCCCTTTGCTGCTATAAAGCCTCCACTCTTCTGGGAAGGCTTTCCACTAGATGTTGGAACATTGCTGCGGGGACTTGCTTCCATTCAGCCTCAAGAGCATTGGGCACTGATGTTGGGCGATTAGGCCTGGCTCGCAGTCGGCGATCCAATTCATCCCAAAGGTGTTCGATGGGGTTGAGGTCAGGGCTCCGTGCACGCCAGTCAAGTTCTTCCACACCAATCTCGGCAAACCATTTCTGTATGGACCTCGCTTTGTGCACGGGGGCATTGTCATGCTGAAACAGGAAAGGGCTTTCCCCAAATTGTTGCCACAAAGTTGGAAGCACAGAATCGTCAGTCCAGTTCAAGTGTTCAGCAGTCTGATGGCTTGTAGATAGAAACTGTCTCTGAGCCTGCAGACTCTCTCTACTGCGGTCCCGTTGATGTAGATTGGGGCATGTTCCCACCTCTGCTTCCTGAAGTCAAAATTAAACTCCTTTGTTTTGCTGATGTTAAGGAAGAGGTTGTTGTCCTGGCACTACAATGCCAGTTCACTTACCTCCTCCCTATAGGCTGACTCGTCGTTGTTGGTTATCAGGCCTACAACAGTGGTGTCGTCAACAAACTTGATGGAGTTGGTGTCGTGCAAAGCCACGCAGTCGTGGGTGAACTGGGAGTACAGCAAAGGGCTGAGGACACACCACTGGGAGGCCCATGTGTTAGGAGTCAGTGTGGATATATGGAGGCTTGAGGGTAGTTGAAGGATGGGATTAAAAACAAACAAAATATAACTATTGTAAAATACATTGTGTCCGTAAAATGTATATAGTATGTATCAGCTGGAAGTAGAAGCCTAAGTGTTGTTGTCCATTAGTTTACTTCAATTAGGGGAGGGGTGGTAGGGTTAGGGAAAATAAAGGAAAATATACAGTGAGGGAAAAAAGTATTGATTTTGTACGTTTGCCCACTGACAAAGAAATGATCAGTCTATAATTTTAATGGTAGGTTTATTTGAACAGTGAGAGACAGAATAACAACAAAAAAATCAAGAGAAACACATGTCAGAAATTTTATAAATTGATTTGCATTTTAATGAGGGAAATAAGTATTTGACCCCCTCTCAATCAGAAAGATTTCTGGCTCCCAGGTGTCTTTTATACAGGTAACGAGCTGAGATTAGGAGCACACTCTTAAAGGGAGTGCTCCTAATCTCAGCTTGTTACCTGTATAAAAGACACCTGTCCACAGAAGCAATCAATCAATCAGATTCCAAACTCTCCACCATGGCCAAGACCTAAGAGCTCTCCAAGGATGTCAGGGACAAGATTGTAGACCTACACAAGGCTGGAATGGGCTACAAGACCACCGCCAAGCAGCTTGGTGAGAAGGTGACAACAGTTGGTGCGATTATTCGCAAATGGAAGAAACACAAAATAACTGTCAATCTCCCTCGGCCTGGGGCTCCATGCAAGATCTCACCTCGTGGAGTTGCAATGATCATGAGAACGGTGAGGAATCAGCCCAGAACTACACGGGAAGATCATGTCAATGATCTCAAGGCAGCTGGGACCATAGTCACCAAGAAAACAATTGGTAACACACTACGCCGTGAAGGACTGAAATCCTGCAGCGCCCGCAAGGTCCCCCTGCTCAAGAAAGCACATATACATGCCCGTCTGAAGTTTGCCAATTAACATCTGAATGATTCAGAGGAGGACTAGGTGAAAGTGTTGTGGTCAGATGAGACCAAAATTGAGCTCTTTGGCATCAACTCAACTCGCTGTGTTTGGAGGAGGAGGAATGCTGCCTATGACCCCAAGAACACCATCCCCACCGTCAAACATGGAGGTGGAAACATTATGCTTTGGGGGTGTTTTTCTGCTAAGGGGACAGGACAACTTCACTGCATCAAAGGGACGATGGACGGGGCCATGTACCGTCAAATCTTGGGTGAGAACCTCCTTCCCTCAGCCAGGGCATTGAAAATGGGTCGTGGATGGGTATTCCAGCATGACAATGACCCAAAACACACGGCCAAGGCAACATAGGAGTGGCTCAAGAAGAAGCTCTGGATAAGAGCGTCTGCTAAATGACTAAAAAATTTACAAAAAAAAAAAAACGTATTTCCCTAATTAAAATGCAAATCATTTTATAACATTTTTGACATGCGTTTTTCTGGATTTTGTTGTTGTTATTCTGTCTCTCACTGTTCAAATAAACTGATCATTTCTGTGTCATTGGGCAAACGTACAAAATCAGCAGGGGATCAAATATGTTTTCCCCTCACTGTATATATAAAACAAATATATTATATATATATATAAAAAAAAGAGTCAGTGTGGATGAGGTGTTGTTTCCTATCATCACAGCCTGTGGTCTGCCCCACAGGAAGTCCAGAATCCAGTTGCAGATGGTGGAGTCCAGACCCAGGACTCTGAGCTTGGTGTCGAGCTTGTAGGGAACAATAGTGTTGAATGCTGAAATGTAGTCAATGAACAGTATTCTCCCATAGGTGTTCCTCTTGTCCAGATGTGGATCTGTTGGAGCGGTAGGTCAATTGGAGGGGGTCCAGTTTGCCTGGTATGCTGGCCTTGATGTGGGCCATGACCAGCCTCTCGAAGAACTTCATGATGACCGTGGTGAGTGCGACGGGGCAATAGTCATTTGGGCATGTCACCTTGTCTTTCTTGGGCAATGGGATGATTGTGGTCTCCTTGAAGCAGGTGGGTACTACACCCTCGGACAGGGACAGGTTGAAGATGTCTGTTGTCCTTGTAACATGCGTCGCAAGTCTGGGTTGTCGAACATCAATTGAAGTTTGAGTCTGTATTGTCTTTCTGCGTCCCTAATGGATTTGCGGCGCTCATACCTGCTTGCCTTGCATCACCGCCAGGGACCGTTCTGCTGACATTGAATGCTGCAGTACAGGCTCTCAGCATGGTTGTGGTATGTCCATATTGTTATTGTGGGTACAACATCATTAACACATCATCAACACATCAGCAGCAGATTTTAATTTAGAATGGAAAATGAATGTGTTTATGCAACAAATGTTAGTACACCGAATCGCACCGAATCATTTCAAACTAAAACATATGGTTCCTGTATTGTATCTGAGCCCATGTATCTAGATACGTATGGTTCCTGTATCGTATCTGAGCCCATGTACAGTAGATCAGGGGTCACCAACCCTCCTGGAGAGCAAGCAGGATTTTCATCCAGCCCTATTTTAAAGAGAGCGTTCACCCAAATTACAAAATACAAAATGTTTGTGTCCATACCTTGAACGCAGTATATGGACAAGGAGACTGCAATCTATGATTTGGTTACCCACTGCCATCAACCATTAATATTATTATTTCCTGAGCAGAGCCTTGGTGTAGTGGTGTTACGGTCCCCAGCAAGAAACTGGGTCCGTAACTGGGTCCCCCAGTCTCTCAAACAGAAGGGGGAACTAACAAAGAGTCACTGACCACAACCAAAACAGGTGGGGTTTTAGGAGGGGTTCTGACACTCATGGGGATGTCCACTGAAAGTTGACTAGCAACAACAACTGGGACCGAAAAAGACACCCACCATGAGCGCACACTAAATTTGCCCAAGCAGAGGCAAACAAAATAAAAAAAAACACCGAACTTAAAGTCAGCAAATCAAAAAGTGGAGCAAAACAACTAAACTAAAGGTGTTAACCCTCCACATCTCTCAAGACAACTGGAGCACTGGGCCAGCCACTCTTAAATATCACCTGGGCCAGCCCAGGTGAAACACCTTCCCACTAACGAGATGACAAATCAGCACTGGTGTAACTGTAACACATACTGACTAACAAGGTGACACCAAATCGGTGCGCCCCCGTGGCACGTGTCACACACGTGTCACACAAAACTTTCCACCTGAGAACAGGGATAAATTCCTGCTTCCAACCTTCCCACTGTTTCTAGCATTTGCCTGTCTCCCCATCTCATTACTGTCTGAATAAAGTGTCAAACCACAACAAAAAAGAAAGTAAATATTTAGCCCCCAAAAATCTCTAAGTCGTCAAATTTTTTGTGTTCATTTAATGTTCAAAGTATCCTGAATACACCTGACCTGTGGTTAAAAATATATATTGTCCACCCTGGTCATAGGCCTAAGCCATGTCAAAATATGTACAATTGCAGGAAATGAGCTTTAAAACAGTAACATTTTCAGTCTAGGGGTTGTGCCAGGGGACAATGAAATTCAGATAGTAAATCTCACTCCAAGCTTTCTTCAAAAGTTGGCAGCCCTGTGTCAATACTAGCTACAGTGGTTAGCTAGCTTTGAGGAAGTATTTAATGTTGTGTGCATTGTGTCTGCATTTAGCTGGCTCCCATTCCATAGCCTACACTGCATATGAAGTCTGACTGGCTCATCTGTGGATGTACCAAAAACAATCCCTATTTTTGTTAATTATTTTTTTACTCCCCCAAGTGGGGGTTCGTGCGCTCTGATTGGCTCAGTCAAGTTGTTGGCTACTGACAAGCATTACGATTCTACAGGTAGAATCGGTATGTTCGTCACTACCGGGTCTGCACGCAGCAGGTACCACTTTTGTTCTAGCAAGGAACGGGCTCCCACTGTGGTAAATACCTATCGGCAGTGAGATTCTCGGTGTGTTTCATGCTATAGAGATAGAGAGAAAGACCTGTCTTACACTTGTTACATGCGCAATTACACTTTTTAAACATACCCAACTCACTCTTTGACAAGCACACACACACACACACACACACACACTACAGCAACATCCAATATTTTGTAAATGGCCACTTAAAATAGGGAAGTACACTTTAGTTGGATTTGTACAATGCAATACGGTTGGCAGTCTTTCTAAATCATGTAACTAACTACTGTTAATGTGCTGTCTAATCACTGAACTAATTGAAGCTAAGTAGCCAACTACTATTTGATGGATTTTACATTAACAATTATACTGAAGATATAAAAAAAATGAAAAGAGATAATGCGGTTTTGATTGATCGAACTAGGAGACAATTTAGAAAGATGGCCTTAACACACACAACCTTCCCCATCCTCTCTCCATACCCACGAGCAGGCCCCCATTGGAGGCTCCGTTGATGGCTATGCGGCTGGCTGTGGTGTAGTTCTCTTGGATTAGATACTCTGCTGCACACTGGAAGTCATCAAAGCAATTCTGCTTGTTCCCCAGGGTACCACCTAGACAGAGACAGGAATTCAACTCTAGAAAGGATACTGCCATAGTCCACAGATAATATAATAATATATGCCATTTTGCAGACGTGCATGCATTCATTTTACACACTATCCTGGCCTTGCAAGTGCCATGCTCTACCAACTGAGCTACAGAGAGACTGGGGCCGGGTATCAATAGTCATAGCTACAGTAGTTTCCATCTTATTCACTCCCCCCCAAGCATGACATGAAGGCAAAATAGTGGAAAGCTGTGCTAGTGAATATAGACTAGCGAATCGCAGCCCGTAGGTTTAACATACTGTAGCTTTATTTAACCCATTTCTATGCTTCTTCAGGTGGTGAAGATACGGTACCTTTGTGCCAGGTCTGTCCGTACTCCCCTCCTCCTCTGATGTTGGCTACAGCCAGGATTCCCCCCAGGTGTCTGACAAACAGCAGGTATGGAACACTGACAGAGAGAGAGAGAGACAGAGAGGGAGGGGTGATGGACAGGTGTCACTCAAATCAAACTGACTCAGAATACAGATCATTTGGATGAATTATATACTTATGAATTCCTGGAGGGGAAAGATACATAATGTTCCGTTGGAGAGTCATGCATTGTGATACTAACTTGTAGTATGGTTGGATGGAGTTCTGAAAGCCTCCATATCCGTACAGGAAGACAGGATGTGATCCATCCTTCTTAAGGCCCCGGGCGTGCACCAGGAACATGGGGATTTTAGTTCCATCCTTACTGGGGTAAAACACCTGAAACACACAGCAATGTTGACATACTGAGATTGTCAAGATACTGTAAATTCTTACTGTAAGTAGTTGTAATCTGCTGTTGTCTTACCTGGTTGGTTTCATAGTCCTCCTGTTGGATACCCTTCACCTCCACCTGTCTGAACACTGTGGGTTCTGGAGACGCCTGGCTCAGGTCACAGTGGTAGATCACACCTGGGAGAGACACGACACATAGGGGTTAGAGGTCATAGAGAGGTCAAAGGTTATAGATAATAAGGACGTTGGCGGGAGGGTACCCAACAGTAGTATTCAAAGTTAGTCTTCCTTTGTGTTGAATGTAAGTTGTCACTCCATACTAATAGTGAGAATATTAACCCTAATGAATAATAATTAAGTGAAAAGACAAGGAGGCATAAACACATCAGGTTATGCCAATGAACATCACCTTTATGTTCATAGGTTAGTCACAATAAATTACATAACCTTTTCATGTCTAACACCACAAATTAAGTTGAATATCCCCTACTAGACAGTACAGTACCTGGTGTGGTGAAGGAGGTGAACTTGTAGAAGAAGTCAGAGTGTTTCTTCTTACAGCTGAGGCCCACCACAGTGCCCACGTCCAGAGGCAGATCTCTGACCAGACAACCAGTGGACAGGTCATACAACTGCAGGATGTCCTTCACATCATGGACATAGTTGACCAGCAGGTGGAGCTGGTTCACACAGGCCACGGAGCCTAATGGATGACAGAAAATGCTTACAATGTAGGCTACTTGGGTTCCTTCTGAGCATATCAGCAGGTCTAGAATCAGTTTTTCTGTTTAAAACTTGAAACACTTTCTGCTAAATAATGAAACTGGCCTTGGATTATAATAAAAGCATAATGCACCAACAACCTGACATACAGTACCATTCAAAAGTTTGTACACACCTACTCATTCAAGGGTTTTTCTTTATTTTTACTATTTTCTACTTTGAAGAATAATAGTGAAGACATCAAAACTATAAAATAACACATATGGAATCATGTAGTAACCAAAAAAGTGTTCAACAAATCAAAATATATTATTTATATTTTCAAATAGCCACCCTTTGCCTTGATGACAGCTTTGTACACTCTTGGCATTCTCATAACCAGCTTCACCTGGAATACTTTTCCAAAAGTCTTGAAGGAGTTCCCACATATGCTGAGCACTTGTTGGCTGCTTGTCCTTCACTCTGCCGTCCGACTCATCCCAAACCATCTCAATTGGGTTGAGGTCGGGGGATTGTGGAGGCCAGGTCATCTGATGCAGCACTCCAACACTCTCCTTCTTGGTAAAATAGCCCTTACACAGCCTGGAGGTGTGTTGGGTCATTGTCCTGTTGAAAAACAAATGATAGTCCCACTAAGCCCAAACCAGATGGGATGTCGTATCGCTGCAGAATGCTGTGGTAGCCATGCTGGTCAAGTGTGCCTTTGAATTCTAAATAAATCACAGACAGTATCACCAGCAAAGCATCCCCGCACCATAACACCTCCTCCTCCATGCTTTACGGTGGGAACTACACATGCAGAGATGATCCGTTCACCCACACCGCATCTCACAAAGACACGGCGGTTGGAACTAAAAATCTCAAATTTGGACTCCAGACCAAAGGACACATTTCCACCGGTCTAATGTCCATTGCTCGTGTTTATTGGCCCAAGCAGGTCTCTTATTATTATTGGTGTCCTTTAGTAGTGGTTTCTTTGCAGCAATTCGACCATGAAGGCCTGATTCACACAGTCCCCTCTGAACAGTTGATGTTGAGATGTGTCTGTGACTTGAACTCTGTGAAGCATTAATTTGGGCTGCAATTTCTGAGGCTGGTAACTCTAATGAACTTATCCTCTGCAGCAGAGGTAACTCTGGGTCCTCCATTCCTGTGGCGGTCCTCATGAGAGCCAGTTTCATCATAGCGCTTGATGATTTTTGCGACTGCACTAGAAGAAACTTAAAGTTCTTAAAAATGTCCATATTGACTGACCTTCATGTCTTAAAGTAATGATGGACTGTTGTTTCTCTTTGCTTATTTGAGCTGTTCTTGCCATAATATGGACTTGGTGTTTTACCAAAAAAATTGGGTGATCTTCTGTACAACACAACCGATTGGCTCAAACACATTAAGAAGGAAAGAAATTCCACAAATTAACTTTTAAGAAGGCACACCTGTTAAATGAAATGCATTCCAGGTGACTACCTAATGAAGCTGGTTGAGAGAATGCCAAGAATGTGCAAAGCTGTCATCAAGGCAAAGGGTGGCTATTTGAAGAATCTCAAATATATAACACTTTTTTGGTTACTACATGATTCCATATGTGTTATTTCATAGTTTTGATGTCCTCACTATTATTCTACAATGTAGAAAACAGTAATAATTGAGAGAAAAACCCTTGAATGAGTAGGTGTGTCTAAACTTTTGACTGGTAGTATATATAGGATCCAATTTCATGGCAAATTATTGCAAGGGGGATGCAATTTTTGTTTTGTTTTCCAATGTTAAAGTATACTGTGTTAGGTATTCTTCACACACTGTTGTTTCTCTTGTCCAATAGATGGCAGTATGCTTTTCATAATTGTAGTACAGCATGGGACAAAGACTTCCTGTTTACTCCTTTCACCTCTCAAATGGACTTTGTCTAAGGTACAGCAACTATACTGGACATTCTAGTATAGTGAGTTCAACCAAAACAAAGAAGTGCAATGCTAGTAAGTCAAGTTGAGTATAAATAGAACAAATGTCAATAATATAGCTTGAGTTTGCTGATTTCCAACAGTGTGCCGGTGTTCATGCAGTTAAGGTTATACTTGTATGCGTGTGTATCGTTCTAGGAGTGTGTGTGTATAGAGAGAGAGAGAGAGAGAGAGTGAGCGAGCGAGCCCCACACCCTTGACCCTCAATACACTGAGCATACGTCACAAACCACCTGTTAGAACCTCCTAAGACCTTCACAGCACACCCTCAACCACAGATACGGCAGTAAACATCTGTGGCCCCACATTCAGTACTGATTAAAATCTCTCAGCTAACAGAATGATAGGCAGATGAAACACCACTACTCTAATGATATTAGTCAATATGGTAGCAATATGTTTTGGTGAAGAACATCCTTGTGGTATGTAAAAGGGATAAACTTTACATGAGAAGCAACTCACTTTCATATGACCAGGGTCATACCCATTAGGTAAGATTAGACAGCCACCAATGGCGGCACTTGAATTTGGGGCGGCATTTTGATCGGCTGCTACACCGCCGACGGCACCCCAGCCACCAGCTCATAGCGTTGCTGCAGTTCCCGCCCTCACCCCATTCCCGCTTCTCCCGAAGTTCACTTCCACTATCCTTGGTAGCTATGGTGATGTGTGTGTTTATATGGGATTATCCAATTGTGAAATATTAATAAAAAGGAATCTGCCAATTCAATGATTGTTTAGTTTTTTATGTTTGTGTATGACGAAGACGATTAGTGATTAAGGCAGTAGCCTAACCTAGCCTGTTAAATGTTAGCTAGCTATTACTAGTGGATATAATTTTAACTTAAAGTAAGCTATAGAGATTTGAAACAATTTGCTACCATGTCTAAGAGACAAAAACTCTCTCTCTCCCCTCTCTCTCTCCCCTCCCTCTGTCTCTCTCAGATAATTTGATTTCAGGACCATGGACAGCTACAGAGAGAAAACTTCGCTGACTGCAGAGGAAAGAGGCAACTCTAGGCGGAGACTAAATAAATAAATGCTGAAACTGATGTTGGACAATCAGATTCGCTATGTAAATAAACAAAATTCGTTAAGGCTGGGTCATTGACAAAGTTTATTTTACACTGCTCCAGCGAAACGAGGCCCGCCATGCATTTATGAAAGCACTTGTTTCTAAAGCTCAAATGATCTCACTCATTTTTACAGTTCTACAGGAATATTAAAATATATGTTAAATATGTTATGTAATAGTGTTATTTTTATTGTAATTGTAACAATTATGGGATCGTGCCATGTGGGATAACAGGTGGCATATTATTAATAAGAAACTCGTTTTCCTACTATAGGTAGTTGGCTGCAAAGTAATAGCAACATTGTAACTCTCCGATGCAGGGGTTAAAGTAAAATCCCTTCTGCCTGGTAAGGGACCTCCTATATGTGCACGTGTGCACCAACATTTTTTATGGGCCTAATCTTCCTATTCCAAAATATAAGTGGCAAGCCTACCTGTTTGACAGACACAATTATGCTATCCATAGATGTCGGTATAGCCAAATACTCCAATACTGTCGGATGCACTGATTAAATGCCTGGGAAGGGCTTGGTGTGTTTGGTTAAAACCAGGGCTCGAATTGAGTGAGGGTATCACATACCCCCTGTGCTAAAGAAAAGGGCAAAAAGGATATCTATTGTTTGCTTTATATTTTGAAATAAATGCATAAAAAGTATCCAAATGATATCAAGCGTTCTATAACGATGCTTAACTCGGTGATGCCTTATGGTACAAACAAGCTCTAAAATGCCTGCAAAAGACTTAACTCTGATGCATATGGGGATATATTGATTCCTCTCTAAGACTTTCTGAAGCTGAGCTGCAGTCGAGGAGATAAAAAAAATTTGTCGGTAGAGCCTCTGTCTGGGTGGAAAGGTAACTTTTGAAAGTGCCATGCTTAGATTCATAAGGATGTCTATGATGTAATTATTTCCAAACAAGACACTGGTTTGACATTGAGAAAAAAATGTTTGTCTCACCTAGGGCGGCAGAAAGTCCAGGGCTGGCCCTGCATATGATCTGCCCGACTACATTGAAGACGTGTGCCAGATCTTACAATGCCTGGAAGTATCTTATGACCTAGGGCTGACCAAGTTGCTTGCTACGTCACACATTTTAAAAATGTGATTCATGAGACAAAGTTCCCGTACTTCCAAAGTTTCACTTTTTATTTAAAATGCATGCTATGAGGAAGGTCGTTTAACCATGACAAGAAGTTCCCACTCACTGTGGTCGATAGACTGAAACATGAACATGTAAATCAAAAAAGTGAAACTTGGCAAGTAGCCTGACCATACTAAAAACGTATTTGACTCCCTTTAGTCCAGTGGTCTAAACACATAGAAACGCGAAAGCAGCACAAAAAACACATTTGGCTTATCACCATCATCATGATTAGGTCATTGGGTCATATCAGTTGTTTTAGTGGTGGGCTGGAACCAAATCCTGCACACCCTGTAGCTCTCCAGAACCAGGGTTGGATACCACTGCTCAGGTTTCTCTTACCCAGGACGTCCTTGTCGTGCTGGGGTAGGAGGGTCCTCCAGTGGTCCTTGTCTGGTTTCTCCAGGTCAATGTTGATCAGGCAGTAGCGAGGGGCATCCAGGTTGGTGCGGAAGGTGAACACACTGCCCTCATTGGTGATGTAGGAGTATTGCGCCTCAAAGTTGTCCACCAGCTTCACCCAGGTCAGCAGGCCTATAGGTACAGTTGCAGTCAAATATATTGGCACAGATGCAGTCAAATATATTGGCACAGATGCACTATGCAATGGAGCAGAATGTGGTTGAATGGCTATTTTTACTCTGTAGGCTGCTCATCACAGGTGAGATAAAGTACCAGTAAACGACAATTTTACATTTTACATTTTACATTTTAGTCATTTAGCAGACGCTCTTATCCAGAGCGACTTACAGGAGCAATTAGGGTTAAGTGCCTTTCTCAAGGGCACATCGACAGATTTTTCACCTAGTTGGCTCGGGGATTAGAACCAGCGACCTTTCGGGTACTGGCACAACGCTCTTAACCACTAAGCTACCTGCCGCCCCAATCACTTGCCTCCAACCACATTAACTTGTTAATAATTTAGTCCAGGCCATTTTTGACTTGGAAGTGAAAAATCTCAATTTCAGTTTTGATATCTTATTCATGGTCATGTGCAGTTGTACATGAAATACCAAAATGTTTTCAATTTATTTTACAATAAATTGTGAATCGTACAAATATATTTGACTGCATCTGTATAGGACAATAAGAACTAGTACCTTATTGAGACGCACCTATGATGTGAGGTATTCATACAGGGTCTGATTAAGATCGTAGGGACAGACCTGTGATGCCATTGGGCAGCTTCTCCAGGTCACAGTACCATAGCTGGTTGACTGGCTCACAGCCCTCTGTGATGTTGAGCACTGCATACCTGCCGTCATCCGACACCTAGAGAGAGAGAGAGAGAGAGAGAGAGAGAGAGAGAGAGAGAGAGAGAGAGAGAGAGAGAGAGAGAGAGAGAGAGAGAGAAATGATCTGATGCTTTAGTACTAGCTGATGCTATCCCTACATTAGCAATGTGAGTGATTACTTACAAACTGAGAACAAAAGATAGAAAGATGGATCCAGGATTGAGAGAGTCAAACAAGGTGGAGGAGAGAGACAGAAGTGAGGGAGATGAGACAAAGAGAGTGACAGAGTGATAGTTGTAGATTCATATGGAGAATGTGGTGGACAACAGGTGGGAAATGTAAAGAAAAAGCATTCTCTTTTAAACTCACTGTTACTCCACTGTGCCATTTTGGATGGTCAGGAAATTCAGCCACCAGGATGTCCTCTGATTGGTTGGTGCCAATCACATGGTAGTAGAGTTTCTGATTGAGGTTGGATGTGGTCTCTGTGCCTGTGGAGCAATGCAGAAAGCTGTGTGTGTTTTTCAATGTGTTTGTGCACTTATACAGTAGATATACTATGTTGTACTGTATACAGTAGATAACATGCTGTATGTGTATGTGTTTATGTCTGTGTGAGTCTCACCATCAGCCTTGCCGTCCTGCCGGGGGTAACAATTATAAAACACCCCGCGGGCATCGTGGGTCCAGGCCAGGCAGCTGAACTTCACCCTGTCCAGGACATCAGGCAGCGTCATGAGGTCATCAGCCTTCAGGAAGTGCAACGTCACCCAGTCAGAGCCGCTGGAGCTCAGGCCATACGCAAAGTACTCGCACTCCTCCGACAGGCGCCCCACTGGAAGGAGAAGGAGAGAGAGGCAAGGAGAGAGGAAGAGGAAAAATAGATATTACCGGTACATTGTGTGATATTATAGTGTATAATGTACAGTAGGCCTATCATTTATATATATTTTTGCAATATACTCTACCTTTGTCACAGCAATAAAATCAAATAACAGAGGAGAAATGTAAATTGCTTGACGAGAGGAGGAGGAATTGTGAGGGCTCAGGTTGAGACATAAAAAGTTATGGTGTGTGTTTGTGTGTATTACAGTAATCAGGAGCTCACTCTTCAAGGCTACAGTCCCATCCTCAGACAGTGTGTTTGGGTCAAAGAAGACTGTGGCCGGTCCGTCCAGAGAGTCCTGCACATAGAGCACATCCTGGTTCTGCAGGCCCTGGTTATGGAAGTAGAAATACCTACAGACAGAGGAAACCAGTTATATTTGTTATACCATGGAGAGCATCAGACACACATACAGTGCCTTTAAAAAGTATTCACACCCCTTGTCTTATTCCACATTTTGTTGTGTTACAGCCTGAATAAAAAAATTGACTAAATATATTTTTTTCTCCCCCATCTACACATAATGACAAAGTGAAAACATATTTTGCAATGTTTGCAAATGTATTGAAAATGAAATACAGAAATCTCATGTACATAATTATTCACACCGAGTCAATACTTTGTAGAAACACCATTGGCAGCGATTATAGCTTTGAGTCATCATGGGTATATCTGTATCAGCTTTGCACATATGGATTTGCAGATTTTCTCAAGCTCTGTTAAGGCTGAGGAGTAAGTTTCACACATGCTACACAGGCAGTTATTGCGTACTTACCCCTTTGGCCCTCATTGTTGTGCATTTTCTTGGAAATAAGTGTGCAGGCTTTTGTTCCAGCCCAGTACTGAATCTTTTGATTAGTCCTTAAACTGCTTTTTAACCTGTTTCCTCCCTTGTAGGGGCAGCTGTATTTTAGGTCCTAACCTGTTTATTTCCCCATAGAGAATGATAGAGGCCTCTAGTGGCCAAAAGGCCATTTTAGCATGGACAGCACCATTGAGGGCTTCCACCATGTAGTCAACTGGGTGGGACTTCCAACTTCATTGGCTGATCCCTCCTGGTGACCCTGTTGGAGTCATGTCCAATCGGCTCATCAGAAGGGATCAGGCAATCTTGAAGAAGAAAATTGACAAGTTCAAAATGGAGATAGCTTCAATGGCGCTGCCCGTTCTGTCACAGACGCTATATTGGCACAGATACAAAGATGAGTCCTCTCTCTCTATGTTGTTTCCTCTCTTGTTGGGGCACCTGTATTTTAGTTCAAAGCATGTTTGTTTCCTCTCTTGTAGAGGCAGCTGTAGTGATGCTTTCACCAAATTGTGCCAAAAAACTGTTCATTACTCGGAGCCAGAGCATGTGAGCGGAGTTGAGCGGTTGCAAATCCCACTCATGGCACCGCTCTTGCGCTTCATGTGCTTTCCTACCGCTCCACGCTCACAGGAAAAAACACTGCAGCTCCAAATTCGCTCCATTCATTAAAATCACAATTTAACCAACACCCATCTATTTTTGTGACTACCTGGACCTACCAATTGTTTTTTAAGTATTGAAACCAAACCATATGGATTTGAATTAAACGTATTTGAATCTCCAGTCAAATTAGGCACACTCCGCTCCTCGCTCCGCTCCAGCTCCTCTCCAGCTCAGCTCACATACTCTGCTCGGACCTTCATTATCTGTTCAAAATGCACATTAGTGACATCTTCTGGTCAGCATTAAATAGCATGTTTTTAGCAAAACGCCTTGCCGCAGCGGTAAGTCGTTGGCTTTAGTAGCCTATAATCAATTGGAATACCAGGTTCTAATTTTACATTATGTTTCCCTTTTTTGCCTTCAAGTTTACAATTTTTTTTTAACGGAATCTATGCCATTATTTGGGATGCTGAAGATAGAAGCTATACTACATAAAACAAATTATTTGAACAACTGTGCAGAAAGTGTGATTTCACATAAAACAATTTTCTAAATAGTGTGTCTTCAACAGGATTTGACCTCGTACCCTCACATCCCTGAATGTTCCATAGTTCCCTCTCTACTTGCTAAGCCACCGGTAAAGTGAAACTTTTTGTACAAAATCCTGACTATATTTGTACGGTTTGATGGATTGAGTTTATTAGACCTTTTCTTTTTTGTATACATACGTAAGGGTGCTCCAGCCAGTGATGCCTCCACATTCAATTTAAGAAAATCATCAAGGATAACACAATAAAGCTTGAAAGCTTGTTTCCATTGTGGTCCTTTTGGAGGGGGGGCGGGATGCAGCAAGGTTAGGCAGCAATGGTAGTGGCAACAAACAACGACAGACAAAATTGTTGTTTGTTTCATAAAATGAGTTAAATAGTACAGATCCATTTCCTAATAAACAACTCTAGTCAGGTACATCTCCCTTGTCTCACATACCCATAATATACAGTATACAACATTCAATATCTTACATATACAAACACAAGACAATCACAATATGATACACAATAGGCACCAAAAGGCAGACCATATGCGATCCCAGGCACTTTCATCTCACCCACGTATTGTGCGTAGTCTTACGACTCACTTTGAGACATGCTACTATTTAGCTATTTTTTCAGTGAGAACTTGAAACTGCCTATGGAGGTTATATGTTTCAAATTCTTTGGAAGACTATTCTAAAGAATGGCAGCTGAGTACAAAAAGGTTTCTTTCCCCATACTACTATTAAATCTAAAAGGAACAGCGTCAGTTTCACTCCTTCTAGTGGATTAGTTATGGTTATCCTGGACCAAGCTAAAGTCATTACATAGGTACCTGGGGACCATACTGTGGACAAGCTTATGTACAAGACACACTTTAATCTGACAGACTCTCTCCTCCACTTTGAGCCATCTGAGGCTTTCAAAGTGGGAATGGTCAAGATTAATACGTGCTGGAAGTTTAAGAATAATTGTGACTAATTTGTTCTGAGATGTCTGCAGTTTGTTTTTAATTGTCCAGTAGAGGTCGGTGTTTGAAAGCAGCTTGGAATTGAAGAAAGCACCAGAACCACGGCGAAATCAGTGGGATCTTGCAGTTTGCAACACACGGTTTGAAAAAGCACGTCATCAAACTAAGCTTTGGACGTCATGGATGACATACTTCTGATAAAGTGATACACGCATCGGCACACTGCTTCGAAGTTAGCTGCAATAGATTTTGACGCATGCCTCGGTGCTCCGGTATCAAACGTAACATAGGGGCAGCTGTATTTTAGTTCCCTAACCCGTTTCCTCTCTTGTAGGGGCAGCTGTATTTTAATTCCTAACAGTTTCCTCTCTTGTAGGGCCAGCTGTATTTTAATTCCTAACCGTTTCCTCTCTTGTAGGGCCAGCTGTATTTTAGTTCCTACCCGTTTCCTCTCTTTTAGGGGCAGCTGTATTTTAGTTAACCTGTTTCCTCTCTTGTAGGGGCAGCTGTATTTTAGCTCCTACCCATTTCCTCTCTTGTAGGGCCATCTGTATTTTAGTTAACCTGTTTCCTCTCTTGTAGGGCCATCTGTATTTTAGTTCCTAACCTGTTTCCTCTCTTGTAGGGGCAGCTGTATTTGGGGTAGTCAGAGAGCTCAGTTAGCCGCTGGTGAAACTGAGGCCTAACCGCACACTGCTCCAGGAATGGCATGGTCAGCTTATTCTGTTCCTCCACAAAGGCCTGGACAAAACAAACACATGTCAGTGTTCAGGAATAGGTAGCTGCAATACTGAAACAAATCAGTTGTCATTATGTGTCTTTCCAGATTGCATCACAATTACCTTGGTTTCTTCACTGTCAGGATCTTCCAACCAGGCATACGGGTCACATATCTTAACCCCATGGTAGTCATCCACCTACAGGATAGAAATACAACACTTACTATAAGTATGACTGCATGTACGGAAAGAAAAACAAAGAGGCTCTGTCACACAATGTTTGTAAAGGATGTGTAATGACCCCAAAGCATAGTTGGTTGACAGCTGAGTTCTAAAGAATGTCAGTAAATTGCCTTATTTAAATATTACATTGATTGAATGGGGTTTGATGTGGCAATGTCCAATGGAATTCAGATAACTTAAAGATTAAACATTTACTGACTGATTTATAGCCTACAACAGTGTATGACACATGGCTAAAGATAAAAGTAACAGTCTTACTCAGAACTACAGGCCTTCGTTAGAACCTGTAGAGGCAAAACCAAATTGGAAACAGAAACCATTATTTTTCTCAGGGTTACTCAGCTTAGCCCATATAGAATGATAGAGGCCTCTAGAGGCCAAAAGGTTTTATTAGCATGGGCAGAGCCATTGAGGGCTTCCACCATTGTAATGTAGTCAACTGTGTTGGACTTCCAACTTCATTGGCTGATCCCTCCTGGTGACTCTGTTGAAGTCATGTCCAACTGGGTCATCAGTAGGGATTAGCCAATAAAATAAATATAAGACTACTTCAAAATTGAGATTGCCTCAATGGCGCTGCCCGTTCGCTCATAGACGCCATGATGTGAACTATTAAGGGATGCTTTCTCTATCATTCTCTATGGCTCAGCCACACTGACTTTGCACAAAGTGAAGGCCTGCTCGTTTTTGCTCTCTTATGCTGCAATCTCTTCCTGATTGTGCGGCTACCCCTTTAAGACAGAATGGTCGAAAGAGAGAGGAAGCAGAGAGAGCAGTTCGAATTTGACACCGACCTTACTCTCATCTCTCCGAGCTGCCGGGTAGTTAAATGCCATGGTAGAGTGTCTAAATGTGTCCGTATGTCTCTTCAAGCCGTTTGTTCTTTTCGTTTCTCTGTTAGCCCGCCTGCCTATCTGTACTACTCCACACCCTGAATGACTCAGTGACAGATAGCCCAAAGTGAAAGTGAAATCATGTTCTTCTTCTTCTATGAAGTTTTATGGCGAACTACACCAACTGTACCACCTACTGGATGGGATGAGAACTGCGAAATAATAGGAGAAAAGGGGGAAAAACATACTCCTAATATTCCAAAAAGTAAACTAAAAACTCAAATGTACTCTTTCAGTCTGATTCAAATGACTAATCATATTCCTCTCTCGGGTTTCAACATAGAGATAGATAGAGGAATCTAGTGCCCAAAAGCCCATTTTAGCATGGGGAACACCATTGAGGACTTTCACCATTTTTAAGTAGTCAACTGGGTGGGACTTCCTATGGGTTAAGGAAGGATCCCATAATTCCATCCAGGTCATCAGGAGGGACCAGCCAATGAATTATAATTGTGAGCAAACATTCCATAACTGCAGGTGGCAGTAAATCGGCAACCTTGGCTTTAAACCTTTTCAAACAACACACTCCAGGTGGCAGCCTTTCAGTTTGTTTACCAACTCATAGAAGTAGTATTAGAAGAAAATTGACTACTTCAAAATGGAGATGGCCTCTGGCGCTGCCCATGCTCTCACAGACACCATAATGGGTTAGATACAATGTTGCATCCTCTAACTATCTCTATGGAGTTGACACACTTACAACTATGGTCTGCCCTGCTCCCAACAGGATATGATGTCATCATCGATTCAGTCAGGCAGGTCAGGGCAGGGCACATTCAGTGGGGCCATGACTAGAGCAGAAAGCAGGGGTGGAAATCTACATTGTCCAAAAATAAAATAAAAGATGATGGCATCTCCCAAAAAGTTTGCAACAATAACTTTTTACAATACATAGGTGGTTGGGATGACGGCCCAACTTGGGATGGGGAGGGGTTTTAGCGGGGGAATTAGTGGAGAACAATTGGAGGGTTATTTAGTAACATTGCAAATATCATATGGACACTCAATCACTATGGTATTTTCTATTGGTAAATCTACAAACATATATAATGACAAATAGATTTGAAACTTGTATCTCATTATGGTATGTGGTGAAATGAGTATAGCCAGTTATAATTGTAATGGCTTAGCAGATAATAACAAAAGAAGAACAATATTTACATGGCTCAAAGAGAAGGAATATATTATCTATTGTTTACAGGAAACCCATTCAACAATTCTAGATGAAGTTGCGTGGAAAAAGGATACAAACAATCACACTCATGCTCTTAAGGAAATCGTGAATGTCATGGATACATTAGAACTAGTAGATATATGGAGGCTTAAATATCCTGATCTAGTGAGATATACATGGCGGAGACTCAATCAAGCTAGTCGTCTTGACTTCTTTCTTATGTCATTCTCATTGGCACCAAAGTTTAAAAAGTGTTGATAGGGGACAGAATGCGGTCGGACCATCATATAATTGGCATATACATTACTCTTACTGAATTTCCACGTGGGCGAGGATATTGGAAATGTAATCAAAGCCTATTGGATGATAACTTGTTTTTAACTAGGACAGAGGAATTTATAACTGATTTTTTCCGACATAACATAGGTACAGCAAATCCCCTTATTGCAGGGGTGTCAAACTCATTTTAGCTCAGGGGCCACATGGAGGAAAATCTATTCCCAAGTGGGCCGGACCGGAAAAATCATGGTATATATAACTTAAAAACAACAACTTCAGATTGTTTTCTTTGTTTTAATACGATCAACATACAACATAAAGCTGGAGCCTGAGGACAGTGTGTCCAAAATAGTACAAGCACAACATCACTATTAATCATAAAACACGTCAAGTTTATTTGAAAATTCTAAAGAAAAAGAACACACAAACACACAATGCCTCAGTGATTAACAGAACTGTTTCACAGATCACAGAACTATATCAGGGTGTCATTTCTCAGGCAGAAATGTAGATAAAAATAATGAAATCCTGTTCCCCAAACAAGTGCAAGAACCACAGAGTCAAGAATAGGTTAAATATACAAATACAATAAAATCAATTAAAAACAATAGCACATCAACATAAAAACATATAAACATAAAGCTGGAGCCTGAGGACAGTGTCCAAAAGCACAACATCACTATTAATCATAAAACACCTCAAGTTATTTGAAAGTTCTGAGGACAAAGAACACACAAACACACAATGCCTCAGTGATTCACAGAAGTATATCACAGATCACAGAACTATATCAGGGTGTCATTTCTCAGGCAGAAATGTAGATAAAAAATAATGAAATCCTGTTCCCCAAACAAGTGCAAGAACCACAGAGTCAAGAATAGGTTAAATATACAAATAAAATAAAATCAATTAAAAACAATAGCACATCAACATAAAAACATATAAACATAAATCTGAAAGCGTTGCTCAAACTCCCGTAACAGTCCCGTTATTTTATCTTTGAACCGCTTCATGTCTGCCACATGTTGGGTCGCGCACACATTTTTCAGACAGGGGAAGTGAGCTGCATCACCACCGGCAAGTTGCGTCTCCCACAATGACAGCTTCAACTTGAAAGAACGTATGCTGTCATAATACTGCGTGACAACTTTGTTGCGCCCTTGCAGCTGTTTGTTCAAGTTATTCAGGTGCTCTGTAACATCCACCATAAATGCAAGGTCCTGCATCCATTCTGCGGAATGAAATTCTAACACTGGTTTGCCCTTTTCTTCCATGAACTGTTCAATTTCTTCTCGTAAATCAAAGAAACGCCTCAGCACAGCACCTCGGCTTAACCATCTTACCTCAGTGTGGTATGGCAGGCCATAGATGTGGTCTTTCTCTCTGAGAAGGCTGTCAAACTGACGGTGATTCAGGCTTCTGGATCGGATGAAATTAACAGTTTGGATGACCACCTTCATGACATTATCCATCTTTAATGACTTGCAACACAAAGCCTCCTGGTGCAAAATACAGTGAAAAGTCAAAAAATCACGTCCTCCATTTGCAGATTGCACTTTCTCTCTGAACTTTGTCACAACGCCTGCTTTTTTCCCGATCATTGAGGGCGCACCATCTGTAGCCAGGCTGACAGCGCGGGACCAGTCCACTCCGACCCTGTCCAGCGCTCCGACGAGTGCGGTAAAAATATCAGCTGCTGTCTTGTATCTGTCATCGGCACCAACTCCACGAACTCCTCGGTGACGGTCAATGTGTCATCAACTCCGAGGATGAAAATGGCCAGTTGTGCAACATCTGTAATGTCCGTGCTTTCATCAATTGCAACTGAAAACGCAATAAATGACTTTACTTTTTGCTTCAACTGGCTGTCCAAATCCACTGAAAGATCGGAAATCCTGTCTGCAACTGTGTTTCTTGTCAGGCTGATATTTGCAAAAGCCTGCCGCTTTTCAGGGCACACAATCTCCGCTGCCTTCATCATGCATGTTTTTACAAATTCACCCCTTACTAAATGGTTTTGAAGCCACTGCGATTTCATTAGCAATGAGGTAGCTAGCTTTCACTGCAGCGTCACTGATGTCTCGGCTGTGAGTAAACACAGACTGCTGTTTCTTCAGACCCGCCAACAGTTCATTCACCTTCTCTCATCTCCGCTGTCCTTGAAAGTTGTCATATTTGTCGGCATGAAGACTCACATAGTGGCGACGAAGGTTATATTCTTTCAGCACTGCAACATGCTCTGAACACACCAAACATACAGCTTTCCCATTCAATTCCGTGAATAAATAGGATGACCATTTTTCTTGGAACACTCTGCACTCTGCGTCCACTTTTCTCTTTTTTGACAGAGACATATTGGGGCAATGAGGGTGCCAAAGCACATAATGTTAAAAGTAGAAGCCGTAATAAATATCGCGGGCAAAACAAAGTAGCTCATTGGCTGCACGTGCTTCACCTACTTGCTCTGCCCCGGTATAAACAGTTTGCTTGCTTAACACAATTGCTATTGCGCCATCCAGTGGACGCAATTGGAACAGCAGTTTATTTTATTGAAAAATTGCAGCGCATTTTTATACTTTACAAAATTATTATTATTAATATTATTATTATTATTATTATTATTATTTATTTTTTTATCATCTCGCGGGCCGGATTAAACCCGTTTGCGGGCCTGATCCGGCCCGCGGGCCGGACGTTTGACACCCCTGCCTTATTGTATGGGACACCTTTAAATGTGCCTTTAGAGGCCATGCAATTCAGTACTTATCTCGAAAACAAAAGCAATTTAGGTCAAAAGAGTCCACACTAACAAAGGAAACAGAAGGTCTAACAGAACAGATAGATAGCAATAAAAACTGTAACATAGAGGCTCAGAATAAATTAGAGGAAAAACAAAAAGAAATGGAGAAACTTATTCAAGAATGATCAAGTGTAATATATTATAAAAATAAAGCAAACTGGATGGAATATGGGGAAAAATGCACCAAATTATTTTTTAATCTTCAACATAGGAATGCTACCAAAAATTATTTATTGAAACTGGTTACAAATGACGGAGTCACCCATGATTCACCAAATTATATTTTGAAGGAGGAAACAAAGTACTTTAAGCATATGTTTTCATTTCAGTCACCTCCATCTCCTCTAACTGAAGCAAATTGTAGAGATTTTTTTTTCTATTGATAATGTAAAGTTAACAGCCATACAGAAAGGCTCATGTGAAGGTGAAATTACAGAGGAGGAACTTCTGGATGCAATTAAAGACAAAAATTATACTTAAATCCGAACTGGTTCTCTAGCAAACTAGTAAGATTGTCTCACCCAATGTTCAAGAAGGGACTTTTTCCCTTTATTCAGATTACAACCCCTCACTTTCAGATATTTGAAAAGGAAATAATCTCCCAAATATCACTATTTCTAAAACAAGCCATAGAAAGTTGGTTGCAATTTCAATTTAATCCTCCAGAAATGACAGAACAAATATTGCAACAAATATTGTGGTTAAACTCAAATATACTATTTGATTAAATAAAACGTTATTTTTTTAGATAAAAAAATAAATAGGTATAATGTTCGTAAATTATATTATCAGTAGGAATGGTGGAGTTATGCAGCTAACAAAAACATATGGAAATGTCTGCTCTATCCAAAATTACAACCAAATAATTGCAGCATTACCGCAAAAATGGAAGAGGAAAGTGGAAGGATGAAAAAGTAAGGAACTTGTCTGTCGGCCTTGCATTAAAGAACATAATTGGTTACAGAAAATTGTGATAAATAAAAAGGTTTACCAGTTTCATTTAAGGACCGAAAGATTGACAGCCATCCCATATAGTTTGCAAAATAGTTGGGAAGAGATTTTTGACGTACCGATTCCATGGCATAGTGTTTATGAACTGATACGCAAAACGACGCCGGATTCAAAACTTATAATTTTTCAATTTAAATTATTATATACAATTCTTGCTACCAATATAATGTTATTTGTATGGGGGATACAATCTTCCCAGCTCTGAAGATTTGGCTGTGAAGAGACATAATCATTAGATCATTTGTTTTGGTACTGTCCATTTGTAGCTTGTTTCTGGACACAGGTCCAGGAATGGCTGAAGGATTGCAATATTTGCATGGAGCTGACCCTGCAGATAGCACTACTGGGTGATCTGAAAAGTCATAGTCAATCGATCAATAATATAATAATACTTTTAGCAAAAATGTTTATTTTCAATTCACAAACTGTAGAAACAATGAGAATAGAAAGGTTCAGAACTTTTGTAAAACATCACAGTACAGTTGAAAAATATATGGCAAATAGAAATCCAATATGGATGGTGTTAAAAGATAGATAGATGGGAGGTTTTGAATGGAGCTGAAGGATGGGACTAATAACAACAAGATAACTAGTGTAAGACATGCTGTGTCCATAATAAGTATATGGGTTATATATTGTGAGCTTTTGTGAAACAGCACAGTTAGAAAGATATGGCATATAGAAGCATACCAGATGGACATCATGAAAATGATCGGAGGAAGTTCAGGAGTAAAAACAAACAAAATATAATTATTGACTGTGTCCATAAAATGTATATAGTATGTATAAGCATGAAGTAGAGGCCTAAGCATTGTTGTTCACTAGTTTACTCCAATTACGGAAGGGATGGTGGGGTTGGAAAGTAATAAAGGGAAATATATATATTTTTTAAGGATATGTATGTATATATATATATATGTATGTATATGCGTATATGTATGTGTATATATATGCGAGAAAAAGAAAAAAAACATATGAGGGATTGGAAGTGATGCAGACAATTACATTGATGGAAGTTACAATCTACAGTGGGGGAAAAAAGTATTTAGTCAGCCACCAATTGTGCAAGTTCTCCCACTTAAAAAGATAAGAGAGACCTGTAATTTTCATCATAGGTACACATCAACTATGACAGACAAATTGAGAAGAAAAAAAATCCAGAACATCACATTGTAGGATTTTTTATGAATTTATTTGCAAATTATGGTGGAAAATAAGTATTTGGTCACCTACAAACAAGCAAGATTCTGGCTCTCACAGACCTGTAACTTCTTCTTTAAGAGGCTCCTCTGTCCTCCACTCGTTACCTGTATTAATGGCACCTGTTTGAACTTGTTATCAGTATAAAAGAAACCTGTCCACAACCTCAAACAGTCACACTCCAAACTCCACTATGGCCAAGACCAAAGAGCTGTCAAAGGACACCAGAAACAAAATTGTAGACCTGCACCAGGCTGGGAAGACTGAATCTGCAATAGGTAAGCAGCTTGGTTTGAAGAAATCAACTGTGGGTGCAATTATTAGGAAATGGAAGACATACAAGACCACTGATAATCTCCCTCGATCTGGGGCTCCACGCAAGATCTCACCCCGTGGGGTCAAAATGATCACAAGAACGGTGAGCAAAAATCCCAGAACCACACAGGGGGACCTAGTGAATGACCTGCAGAGAACTGAGACCAAAGTAACAAAGCCTACCATCAGTAACACACTACGCCGCCAGGGACTCAAATCCTGCAGTGCCAGACGTGTCCCCCTGCTTAAGCCAGTACATGTCCAGGCCCATCTGAAGTTTGCTAGAGTGCATTTGGATGATCCAGAAGAGGATTGGGAGAATGTCATATGGTCAGATGAAACCAAAATAGAACTTTTTGGTAAAAACTCAACTCGTCGTGTTTGGAGGACAAAGAATGCTGAGTTGCATCCAAAGAACACCATACCTACTGTGAAGCATGGGGGTGGAAACATCATGCTTTGGGCCTGTTTTTCTGCAAAGGGACCAGGACGACTGATCCGTGTAAAGGAAAGAATGAATGGGGCCATGTATCATGAGATTTTGAGTGAAAACCTCCTTCCATCAGCAAGGGCATTGAAGATGAAACGTGGCTGGGTCTTTCAGCATGACAATGATCCCAAACACACCGCCCGGGCAACGAAGGAGTGGCTTCGTAAGAAGCATTTCAAGGTCCTGGAGTGGCCTAGCCAGTCTCCAGATCTCAACCCCATAGAAAATCTTTGGAGGGAGTTGAAAGTCTGTGTTGCCCAGCGACAGCCCCAAAACATCACTGCTCTAGAGGAGATCTGCATGGAGGAATGGGCCAAAATACCAGCAACAGTGTGTGAAAACCTTGTGAAGACTTACAGAAAACGTTTGACCTGTGTCATTGCCAACAAAGGGTATATAACAAAGTATTGAGAAACTTTTGTTATTGACCAAATACTTATTTTCCACCATAATTTGCAAATAAATTCATTAAAAATCCTACAATGTGATTTTCTGGATTTTTTCTCTCTCATTTTGTCTGTCATAGTTGACGTGTACCTATGATGAAAATTACAGGCCTCTCTCATCTTTTTAAGTGGGAGAACTTGCACAATTGGTGGCTGACTAAATACTTTTTTCCCCCAATGTATCTGCAATATTAAAGCTGATCTACCCCCTAAAAAATAAATAAATAAAGTATTGAAAAAAAAATACATAGGTGGTCTTATATATTAAAAGGTTGTTGTAGTGTTTTTGGGAAATGCCATCACCTTTTCCTTTTTTTGGACTACATTACTTTACCCAGATGAGTACACAATTTAAAGACGTTTAGTAGCACTGGCATATCTAAATTCTACTGGAAATCTGAGTGTGTATGAACAAGGGATTTTGTTTGGTGTTAGTTAGTGGATGAGTGTAATAGAAGTGTATTTGTTGGATTGTGTATTTTTTGGGATTGCTTACCACATGTTGGAGAGAGAGGATTTTTGTATGTGGGTTGTTGACATACACATGTCGTAGGAGTGTGACAGGGACCACTTTTCGAAGTCCTTACTTGTGCACGTGTGTTACTTCTCTATGAACATTGTCATTGAAAACTGGTCACTTTAATAATGTTTACATAATGTTTTACCCACTTTATATGTATATAGTGTTTTCTAGTCATTGCTCATCCTATATAACCACTGCTGTACACACCTTTTCTATTCGTATACTGTCCATACTGTCTTTACACACCATTATATGTACAGTGGGGAGAACAAGTATTTGATACACTGCCGATTTTTCAGGTTGTCCTACTTACAAAGCATGTAGAGGTCTGTAACTTTTATCATAGGTACACTTACATTTACATTTTAGTCATATAGCAGACGCTCTTATCCAGAGCGATTAGGGTTAAGTGCCTTGCTTAAGGGCACGTCAACAGATTTTTCACCTAGTCGGCTCGGGGATTAGAACCAGCGACCTTTCGGTTACTGGCACAACGCTCTTACCCACTAAGCTATCTGCCGCCACTTCAACTATGAGAGACAGAATCTAAAACAAAAATCCAGAAAATCACATTGTATGATTTTTAAGTAATTCATTTGCATTTTATTGCATGACATAAGTATTTGATCACCTACCAACCAGTAAGAATTCCGGCTCTCACAGACCTGTTAGTTTTTCTTTAAGAAGCCCTCCTGTTCTCCACTCATTACCTGTATTAACTGCACCTGTTTGTACTCGTTACCTGTATAAAAGACACCTGTCCACACACTCAATCAAACAGACTCCAACCTCTCCACAATGGCCAAGACCAGAGAGCTGTGTAAGGACATCAGGGATAAAATTGTAGACCTACACAAGGCTGGGCTGGGCTACAGGACAATAGGCAAGCAGCTTGGTGAGAAGGCAACAACTGTTGGCGCAATTATTAGAAAATGGAAGAAGTTCAAGATGACGGTCAATCACCCTCGGTCTGGGGCTCCATGCAAGATCTCACCTTGTGGGGCATCAATGATCATGAGGAAGGTGAGGGATCAGCCCAGAACTACACGGCAGGACCTGGTCAATGACCTGAAGAGAGCTGGGACCACAGTCTCAAAGAAAACCATTAGTAACACACTACGCCGTCATGGATTAAAATCCTGCAGCGCACGCAAGGTCCCCCTGCTCAAGCCAGCGCATGTCCAGGCCCGTCTGAAGTTTGCCAATGACCATCTGGATGATCCAGAGGAGGAATGGGAGAAGGTCATGTGGTCTGATGAGACAAAAATATAGCTTTTTGGTCTAAACTCCACTTGCCGTGTTTGGAGGAAGAAGAAGGATGAGTACAACCCCAAGAACACCATCCCAACCATGAAGCATGGAGATGGAAACATCATTCTTTGGGGATGCTTTTCTGCAAAGGGGACAGGACGACTGCACCGTATTGAGGGGAGGATGGATGGGGCCATGTATCGCGAGATCTTGGCCAACAACCTCCTTCCCTCAGTAAGAGCATTGAAGATGGGTCGTGGCTGGAACTTCCAGCATGACAACGACCCGAAACACACAGCCAGGGCAACTAAGGAGTGGCTCCGTAAGAAGCATCTCAAGGTCCTGGAGTGGCCTAGCCAGTCTCCAGACCTGAACCCAATAGAAAATATTTGGAGGGAGCTGAAAGTCCGTATTGCCCAGCGACAGCCCCGAAACCTGAAGGATCTGGAGAAGGTCTGTATGGAGGAGTGGGCCAAAATCCCTGCTGCAGTGTGTGCAAACCTGGTCAAGACCTACAGGAAACGTATGATCTCTGTAATTGCAAACAAAGGTTTCTGTACTAAATATTAAGTTCTGCTTTTCTGATGTATCAAATACTTATGTCATGCAATAAAATGCAAATTAATTACTTAAAAATCATACAATGTGATTTTCTGGATTTTTGTTTTAGATTCCGTCTCTCACAGTTGAAGTGTACCTATGATAAAAATTACAGACCACTACATGCTTTGTAAGTAGGAAAACCTGCAAAATCGGCAGTGTATCAAATACTTGTTCTCCCCACTGTATACACACATACATATATAAATATACAGTACCATTCAAAGGTTTGGAGACACCTACTCATTCAAGGGTTTTTCTTTATTTTTACTATTTTCTACATTGTAGAATAATAGTGAAGACATCAAAACTATGAAATAACACATATGGAATCATGTAGTAACCAAAAAAGTGTTAAACAAATCAAAATATATTCTATATTTGAGATTCTTCAAAGTAGCCACCCTTTGCCTTGATGACAGTTTTGCACACTCTTGGCATTCTCTCAACCAGCTTCACCTGGAATGCTTTTCCAACAGTCTTGAAGGAGTTCCCACATATGCTGAGCACTTGTTGGCTGCTTTTCCTTCACTCTGTGTTGTTGGCTGCTTTTCCTTCACTCTGTGTTCCAACTCATCCCAAACCATTTCAATTGGGTTGAGGTCGGGTGATTGTGGAGGTCAGGTCATCTGATGCAGCACTCCATCACTCTCCTTCTTGGTCAAATAGCCCTTACACAGACTGGAGGTGTGTTTTGGGTCTTTTCCTGTGGAAAAACAAATGATAGTTCCACTAAGCGCAAACCAGATGGGATGGCGTATCACTGCAGAATGTTGTGGTAGCCATGCTGGTTAAGTGTGCCTTGAATTCTAAATAAATCACAGACAGTATCACCAGCAAAGCACCCCTACACCATAACACCTGTGGGAACCACACATGCAGAGATCATTCGTTCATCTACTCTGCGTCTCACAAAGACACGGCGGTTGGAACCAAAATTCTCCAATTTGGACTCATCAGACCAAAGGACAGATTTCCACCGGTCTAATGTCCGTTGCTAGTGTTTCTTAGCCCAAGCAAGTCTCTTCTTCTTATTGGTGTCCTTTAGTAGTGGTTTATTTGCAGCAATTCGACCATGAAGGCCTGATTCACACAGTATCCTCTGAACAATTGATGTTGTGTCTGTTACTTGAACTCTGTGAAGCATTTATTTGGGCTGCAATTTCTGAGGCTTGTAACTCTAATGAACTTATCCTCTGCAGCAGAGGTAACTCTGGGTCTTCCTTTCCTGTGGCGCTCCTCATGAGAGCCAGTTTTATCATAGCGCTTGATGGTTTTTGCAGCTGCACTTGAATAAACTTTCAAAGTTCTTGAAATTTTCCGGATTGACTGACCTTCATGTCTTAAAGTAATGATATCACGTTTCAGGAGAAGACCCAGAAAAACCGGGGGGAAAGTTTGCGGGACTCCACCCGGGGGGGCAGATCTTGGGTGGACAGCCATACCTTCTGCCCAAGACAATACCGGAGAGCTGGGGTCCGGTGGCGGTCTGCTTGATGTCGATACCTGGAGGTGGTCTTGAGAATAGCCGACCAGGCTCTCCTCCAGGTACGACGACAGTGGCGGACAAACATCTGGCCGAGGGTATGCCGACCTCTTCCTCTTGCTCCGGGAAGAGCGGGGGCTGATAACCCAGGGAACACTCAAAGGGCAAAAGACACGTGGCAGAGCAGGGAAGGGTGTTGCGGGCGTTTTCGACCCACACTAGTTGCTGGCTCCAGGTGGTGGAGTTGGCGGAGACCAGGCAGCGCAGCGTCGTCTCCAGGTCTTGGTTAGCTCACTCCGACTGGCCGTTGGACTGAGGATGGAAACCGGAGGACAGGCTGGCTGACGACCCAATGAGTGTGCAGAACGCCTTCCAGAACCGGGACGAGAACTGAGGACCCCGTTCAGAGACCATGTCCACTGGGAGTCCATGGATCCGGAAGACATGCTGCTCCATGAGCTGGACCGTCTCTTTGGCAGAGGGTAGCTTGGGGAGAGGAATGAAGTGGGCGGCTTTGGAAAACCTGTCCACAACTGTCAGGATGGCGGTGTTGCCATCAGACGGGGGAAGACCCGTGACAAAGTCCAGGGATATGTGAGACCAGGGACGGTGAGGAACAGGCAGAGGTTGGAGGAGACCAGCCGGAGCTTGCCGAGTAGTCTTGTTCTGCGCAGAGATCGTGCAGGCGGCGACAAACGCGGAGACGTCAGGAACCATGGTAGGCCACCAAAAGCGTTGTCACAAAGGCCAGGGTCCGACGGGAGCCCGGGTGGCAGGCAAGCCTGGAGGAGTGGGCCCACTCAGGAACAAATATCCGGTTATCTGCCCCCCCCCCACCCCGGGGTTCGGCTGGGAATGCTGCGCCTTCCGGACCTGCTTCCCTATTCCCCAACTGAGTGCCTGTCGCCAAGCACAAGGTGGGAAGGATGGTCTCGGATTCCGGGGGTGTAGCCGCGGGGCTATAGCGGCGTGACAGCGCATCTGCCTTGACATTCTTGGATCCCGGTCGGTATGAGAGGGAGAAGTTGAACCGGGTGAAAAGCAGGGCCCAACTAGCTTGCCTGGAATTGACATGCTTGGCGGTGCGGAGATATTCCAAGTTCTTGTGGTGTGTCCACATAATGAACGGATGTTCCGCCCCCTCCAGCCAGTGCCTCCACTCATCCAACGCCATCTTCACCGCGAGAAGATCACAATTCCCCACATCATAATTCCTCTCCGTGGTGTTGAGGCAATGGGAGAGGAAGGCGCAGGGATGTAACTTGAGGTCCAGGGCCGAACGCTGGGACAGGACCGCCCCAACTCCGACATCCGAAACATCAGCCTCCACCACGAACTGGCGGGACGGGTCAGGATGTACCAAGATGGGAGCAGTGGTGAAACGGTGTTTGAGGTCCCGGAACGCCCGGTCAGCAGCTGGGGACCATGTGAACGGAACCTTGGGAGAGGTGAGTGCAGACAGAAGGGAAGCCATGGTGCTGTAAGCCCGGATAAAGCGGCAATAAAAGTTGCAGAACCCCAGGAAACGTTGCAGCTGCACTCTGGACGTAGGCTGGGACCAATCCACCACCTCCATCTGTATATTCCCTGCAGCGATGATGTAGCCCAGGAAGGGGATGGTGGAGCGATGGAATTTGCATTTCTCCGCTTTCACAAAAAGCTGGTTCTCCAGGAGGCGTTGGAGGACCTGTCGGACGTGGAGCATGTTCTTGGGCAGAGCGGGAGAAGACGAGGACGTCGTCGAGGTAGACGAAGATGAACCGGTTCAACATGTCACAGAGAACATCATTAACCAGGGCCTGGAACACAGCTGGAGCATTGGTAAGGCCAAATGGCATGACCAGATACTCGTATTGACCGCTGGCCGTGTTGAAGGCAGTCTTCCACTCGTCCCCCTCCCGTATCCGCACCAGGTGGTAGGCGTTCTGTAGGTCCAGCTTGGAGAACACGTTGGCCCCCTGGAGCGGCTCGAAGGCTGAGGAGATGAGTGGTAGCTGGTAGCGGTTCTTCACCGTGATGTCGATGCACGGGTGCAGGGTTTTGTCCTTCTTCTCCACAAAGAAGAACACTGCGCCGGCTGGGGAGGCAGAAGGACGGATGAACCCGGCAGCTAGGGAGTCCTCAATGTAGGTCTCCATAGCCTTGGTCTCCGGACTCGACAGTGAGTACAGTCGTCCCCGGGGCGGAGTGGTGCCTGGGAGAAGGTCGATTCCACAGTCGTAGGGTTGGTGCGGCGGCAGCGAAGTGGCCCGGGCCTTACTGAACACCTCCCGGAGGTCCTGGTACTCCGCGGGAATGGCGAAGAGGTCCGATGCAACTTCCGAGCCCCCAGGAAGACGTCCCGGGTTAGGCAGCGCTAACTTCAAGCAATGAGCATGGCAGAACGGACTCCAGCCCATGATGGCACCAGTAGACCAGTCAATAAAGAGGTTGAATCGCTGGAGCCAAGAGAAACCCAATACTATGGGAATCTGAGGAGACTTAATTAGCAGGAATTGGATTGTCTCGCTGTGGTTCCCTGATACTCGTAGGTTGATGGGTGTGGTATTGTGGGTGACCCGGCCTATAGAGTGCCCATCCAGCACTCTAACATCCATGGGAATGGAGAGGGGCTGAGTGGGATTGCCCAGCTCTGACACCATGGTAGTGTCCATAAAGCTCTCATCGGCCCCAGAGTCGATGAGTACCCGGATAGATTTCGAAAGGTTCTCCCACAGCAAAATGGCATGAAAGGGGGTGCGAGTAAGGGGAGAGGAAAAGCTATCCGTATGGCCCACTAGAGTACTCGCTCCTACCTGTGAGCCTGGTCTTTTAGTGGACAGGTGGACACAAAATGACCAGTAGTCCCGCAATACAGGCAACTCTTTGTGTGAAGCCTGTATTGCTTTTCGGCTGGAGACAGCCTAGCTCTGCTTAGTTGCATCGGCTCGGGAAGAGGTGAATCGGCAGACTTCGGAGACTCTCGGGGAAACTCGGGTTCCCGTAGTCGCCCATTGATCCGAATGGCCAAAACGATGAGCGAGTCGAGATCCGTCGGTAGTTCCGGGCTGCAAGCTCGTCCTTTATTTCCTCCGATACTCCGTGCAGGAATGTGTCGAACAGCGATTCCGGGTTCCAAGCACACTCAGCTGCCAACGTGCGGAAATCCACTGCATAGTCTGCCACACTGCGGGATTCTTGCCGAAGCTGGAGTTACTTCCGGGCAGCCTCAATCCCGGACAATGGAGCATCGAAAACGTTCTTTACATCCTGCATGAACTCCTCCAGACTGAAGCATACGGCCGACTGTTGTTCCCACACTGCCGTAGCCCAGGCGAGAGCGCTCCCGGACATCAGCGTGATGAGGTACACTATCTTAGAGCGGTCCGAAGGGAAGGTGGAGGGCTGCAGCTCGATGATGAGCGAACACTGAGCGAGAAACGCCCGACAGGTTCCCGACTCTCCAGCGAAGCATTCCGGGGGAGGTAGGCGGGGTTCTCGGGAAACCGGGGTGGCCGGGGAGGCCACGCTGCTAATAGCCGGGTTACTGAGGGCCTGGGAGGTTACCGTCGTCATAGGCTGCCTAACAGACAACCCGTGGAATTGCTCCAGCAATGTGTTAAACGCTTGGTCATGGCGTTCGGCCAAGGTCTGGAACCATGAAGCAACTCCTCGTGCCTTTCGATGGTGGCTCCTTGGGAGGAGATGGCGTTGCGGAGCTGGTCCGAGTCATGGCCAGTTCATACTATCACATTTCAGGAGAAGACCCAGATGCAGACAGTGTCGAAGTAACAAAGGTTTATTACAAAAACAGGGGGCAGGCAAACGACAGGTCAAGGGCAGGCAGAGGTCAGTAATCCAGATCAGTGTCCAAAAGGTACAGAACGGCAGGCAGTCTCAGGGTCAGGGCAGGCATAGGTCAATAATCCAGGGTGGTGTGACAAGGTACAGAGCAGCAGGCAGGCTCACTCAGGGTCAGGGCAGGCAGAATGGTCAAAACCGGGAAAACTAGATAACAGGAACTTGAAAAAGACAGGAGCAAGGGGAAAAACGCTGGTAGGCTTGACGAAACAATACGAACTGGCAACAGACAAACAGAGAACACAGGTATAAATACACTGTGGATAATGGGGAAGATGGTCGACACCTGGAGGGGGGTGGAGACAATCACAAAGACAGGTGAAACAGATCAGGGACTGTCGTTTCTCTTTGCTTATTTGAGCTGTTCTTGCCATAATATGGACTTGGTCTTTTACCAAATAGGGCTATCTTCTGTATACCACCCCTACCTTGTCACAACACAACTGATTGGCTCAAACGCATTAAGAAGGAAAGAAATTCCTCAAATTAACTTTTATCAAGGCACACCTGTTAATTGAAATACATTCCAGGTGACTACCTCATGAAGCTGGTTGAGAGAATGCCAGGAGTGTGCAAAGCTGTCATCAAGGCAAAGGGTGGCTACTTTGAAGAATCTCAAATATAAAATATATTTTGATTTGTTTAACACTTTTTTGGTTACTACATGATTCCATATGTGTTATTTCATAGTTTTGATGTCTTCACTATTATTCTACAATGTAGAAAATAGTACAAATAAAGAAAAACCCGGGAATGAGTAGGTATGTCCAAACTTTTGACTGGTATATGATTGTGTCTGTGCATTCAAGAGAGTGTGTAGGTATTTATTATACTAGTGTGTGTCCAGGCATTTATGTACTTCTCTACAAATCCGTACGTGCATAATCTGTGTGATGCTCCCGTCACGTCTACCATGTTGACACGTGTCTGTCAACCTGCCCTCTGAGGTATGGCTGCTGTGGGGGTGTTGTAGTTCCTGAACGGAAGGAGACAGACAGGGTGGAGAGACTTCAGAGCAGGATGGGCCAGTGTGTTTGGGCCTGAGGTGAGGACGGATAGCCAACCCTTGAGGACACAGACAGGTGAGTGAAGCTGTCAGGACACGGGATGAGACACAACACCACAGGAAACAGGTAATGTTGCTAACACAGATCTGTCCTTACCACCACCACCTCTACTCTATTGGACAACAGGATCCTGGAACCAAAACAGCATACACAAATGTAATACTGCACAAGCCTGCTGAGAGAGAGGGAGAGAGAGAGAGAGATTGAGAGGGAGAGATGTGTGTCCAAACTTTTGACTGGTACTGTATGCATGTACTTACCGTGCACTAAGCACACACTATTCACAAGAATTGGAGAGCGTAATACAGGGTAATACAGTACATCCTTTCATAGACCATAGTGTTGTTTTTGATGCTGTAGCTGTGTCATGATTAACATGATAAAAGAGAACAGATTCTGATAAAAAGTCACCTGACTATTAGACATTCAGCAAGTCATACCCAAAAGGAAATTATGTCGCCAATCAACCTTTTCCCATTTTTCTAGACAACATTCCTTATAACTCAACACAATCTGGTTATAAAAATATCAGTAAAAAATCACTGCCAAATGACACAAATACATAGGTGATAAGCTCATGATTTCTTTACGTTATTACGTTTCTGCCGCAGATCACTTTTCTGAGGCGACTACTGTGCTTTTTATTGAAGTAGTGTGATAATGCCTAATTCCGTTTATGAGGTTCATGATGACTGTTTATGGCCTTGAGAGAGAGTGAATCACTCGCTCTCTCTCTCTTTCTCTCTCGCTCCATCCTCTATGGCCCTCAGGTATTCACCTGTTACCTAATGGAGCAGGTGTTTTGGACTCCCCTGACCACAAACACCACTACACTCAACACACCACACACACAACAACCCTGGGTGATCCTCTCAACACTGGGAAAACATGAAACGTTTTTAGAGTAATTAGCCTGTCAAGCAGACCGTGATTGTTGCTTCACTGTTTTTGTGGTCAAAAACAGCTGCTGCTACTACTACTTTTCAGTAGTAGACTATTAGTGATATGTTCATTTGTCATGTGTCTAAGGCTTGAGGTCTATGTTGTATGCTTCCATAAGATTTTGTGAAACAGAAACATAGTTTGTGAAGCATAAAAAAAGCATACAAGATACTGTAAACAGTCGAAAACAAGATGCTGTAAACAGTCAGAAACAAGATGCTGTAAACAGTCAAAAACAAGATGCTGTAAACTGTCAGAAACAAGATGCTGTAAACAGTCAAAAACAAGATGCTGTAAACAGTTAAACTTTTGGTGAAACATTACTTTAGTCATAAGAGTGTATATTTTACACAAACTATTTTTAAGCTTGGTGTGAGTGTGAGGCTGTGAGCCTTCACAATTTACTGTTATTTCTCTATTGAGGTTTCATAGATTAATTAACTGAGAAATAACATGGATTTGTGTAAACATACATTTGTTGTGATATGGCGCAGCCATAGCGCATCATGGATTACCCCTAAGGTTGGAGAGAACAAAAACAGGTTTTGTGTTTCAGATGTTTAATCTGTCTAATCCATAAAGCTGTGAAAACGACTTGGGGAAGGAGGGAGGGAGGGAGGGAGAGGTGAGGGAAGAGAGTCATGCAGTCATACAGAAGGACAATCTTGGTCTAATTAGTGTTGCAGTGAAAAGCAAGACTGTGTCCCAAATGGCACCCTATTTCCTATATAGTGCATTACTTTTGACCAGGGCCCATAGGTCTATAGGGAATACACTCTTAGAAAAAAAGGTGCTATCTACAGTCGTGGTCAAAAGTTTTGAGAATGACACAAGTATTGGTCTTCACAAAGTTTGCTGCTTCAGTGTTTTTAGATATTTTTGTCAGATGTTACTATGGTATACTGAAGTATAATTACAAGCATTCCATAAGTGTCAAAGGCTTTTATTGACAATTACATTAAGTTTATGCAAAGAGTCAATATTTTCAGTGTTTACATTTACATCATTTAGCAGACGCTCTTATCCAGAGCGACTTACAGTTAGTGAATACATATTTTAATTTTTTTCATACTGGTCCCCCGTGGGAATCGAACCCACAACCCTGGCGTTGCAAACGCCATGCTCTATCAACTGAGCTACATCCATGCTGGCCATTCCCTCCCCTACCCTGGACAACGCTAGGCCAATTGTGCGCTGCCCATGAGTCTCCCGGTCGCGGCCAGCTGCGACAGAGCCTGGATTCGAACCAGGATCTTGTGGCACAGCTAGCACTGCAATGCAGTGCCTTAGACCACTGTGCCACTCAGGAGACGCATTGTTGACCCTTATTTTTCAAAACCTCTGCAATCCGCCCTGGCATGCTGTCAATTAACTTCTGGGCCACATCCTGACTGATGGCAGCCCATTCTTGCATCATCAATGCTTGGAGTTTGTCATAATTTGTGGGTTTTTGTTTGTCCACCCACCTCTTGAGGATTGACCACAAGTTCTCAATGGGATTAAGTCTGGGAAGTTTCCTGGCCATGGACCCAAGATTTTGATATTTTGTTCAACGAGCCACTTAGTTATCACTTTTGCCTTATGGCAAGGTGCTCCATCATGCTGGAAAAGGCATTGTTCGTCACGAAACTGTTCTTGGATGGTTGGGAGAAGTTGCTCTCGGAGGATGTGTTGGTACCATTCTTTATTCATGACTGTGTTCTTAGGCAAAATTGTGAGTGAGCCCACTCCCTTGGCTGAGAAGCAACCCCACACATGAATGGTCTCAGGATGCTTTACTGTTGGCATGACACAGGACTGATGGTAGCGCTCACCTTGTCTTCTCCGGACAAGCTGTTTTCCGGATGCCCCAAACAATAGGAAAGGGGATTCATCAGAGAAAATGACTTTACCCCAGTCCTCAGCAGTCCAATCCCTGTACCTTTTGCAGAATATCAGTCTGTCCCTGATGTTTGACAGCATGTGGTCTCTCGAGTGGCGCAGTGGTCTAAGGCGCTGCATTGCAGTGCTAGCTGTGCCACTAGAGATCCTGGTTCAAATCCAGGCTCTGTCGTAGCCGGCCACGACCGGGAGACCCATGGGGCGGTGCACAATTGGTTTAGGGTAGGGGAGGGAATGGCCGGCAGGGGTGTAGCTCAGTTGGTAGAGCATGGTGTTTGCAACGCCAGGGTTGTGGGTTCAATTCCCACGTGGGGGTCAGTATGAAATTTTTTAAAATAATGTATGCACTCACTAACTGTAAGTCGCTCTGGATAAGAGCGTCTGCTAAATGACTAAAATGTAAATGTAATGTTTTTCCTGGAGAGAAGTGGCTTCCTCGCTGCCCTTCTTGACACCAGGCCATCCTCCAAAAGTCTTCGCCTCACTGTGCGTGCAGATGCAGATGCACTCACACCTGCCTGCTGCCATTCCTGAGAAAGTTCTGCACTGGTGGTGCCCCGATCCCGCAGCTGAATCAACTTTAGGAGATGGTCCTGGCGCTTGCTGGACTTTCTTGGGCGCCCTGAAGCCTTCTTCACAACAATTGAACCTCTCTCCTTGAAGTTCTTGATGATCCGATAAATGGTTGATTTAGGTGCAATCTTACTAGCAGCAATATCCTTGCCTGTGAAGCCCTTTTTGTGCAAAGCAATGATGATGGCACGTGTTTCCTTGCAGGTAACCATGGTTAACAGAGTAAGAACAATGATTTCAAGCACCACCCTCCTTTTGAAGCTTCCAGTCTGTTATTCTAACTCAATCAGCATGACAGAGTTATCTCCAGCCTTGTCCTCGTCAACACTCTCACCTGTGTTAACGAGAGAATCACTGACATGATGTCAGCTGGTCCTTTTGTGGCAGGGCTGAAATGCAGTGGAAATGTTTTTTTGGGATTAAGTTCATTTTCATGGCTAAAAGGGACTTTGCAATTAATTGCAATTCATCTGATCACTCTTCATAACATTCTGGAGCATATGCAAATTGCCATCATAAAAACTGAGGCAGCAGACTTTGTGAAAATTAATATTTGTGTCATTCTCAAAACTTTTGACCACGACTGTAGATTCTAAAATAGTTATTCAGCTGTCCCCATAGGAAAACCCTTTGAAGAACCCTTTTTGGTTCCAGGTATAACACTTTTGGTTCCAGGTAGAACCCTTTTGGGTTCCATGTAAAACCCTTTCCACAGAGGTGTCTACATGGAACCCAAAATAAGTTCTACCTGGGACCAACAAGGGTTATACCTGGAACAATAAAGGGTTATCCTATGGGGACAGCCGAATAACTATTTTGGAACCCTTTTTTCTAAGAGGGTGCCATTTGGGACTCAGCCCCAGACAAAGGAACATTACGTTTTTTGCATCAGTAATGCCCATTTATAAATTTAGATGGCAGGGATTGACAGAAAATACAGAACATTTAAAGTACACTTATCTTTGCCAGATAAGCAAACATAAAGTTTAAACCCCAAAAAAGAGGACGATGAGCACGATGATGATGAGAAGTATTGTGGATTGCTGATGTGATACATCAGTGGAGATAAATATGAGAGCAATGAATCTGACTATTGATGATGATGATGACAATGCCAACAACAGGGATAATGACGACGACAACAAGACTTAGGACTTAGCACTTATGACAGCAGCATCTCCTATCCATTACCTCACCACCATACTGTAACTCTGTTAGCTAACTGATTGGTCGATCAGTCAGCATGTATGCAGCCCTACCTGGCCTGCTCTAACTAAGGTGTGGTGTGGCTGGGTTTAGTGGGGAGGAAAGTAGACCAGGCCACAGACAGACGGGTGGTAATGAAAGCAGCCAGAGCCAGACAGGCAGATGAGACAGTAGTCCTCCCTCCCTCCGTGCATATGGGCTAATGGGCTAACACATACAGTCAGGTAGCCTGCCAATTTGCACTGGGATTAGCTAGTCAGATTATAGAGAAGCCACGAGACTGTCCCAGTGTGCAGTGCACAGTGTGCAGACAGCCTGAGAGGGAGAGGGTGTGGTGGTGGCTGGAACTGTACTTGCTCTCTGTTCACTGCCAAATTAAGGGATGATGTGGAGACGTTATGGCACTGAAAAAGACATGCATAGATAAAGAGAGAGGGAAAGAAAGATAGAGCACAGAGCATATATGCTGCGGGCACTCATTACACTGTCAGTTAATCGCAGAACTCAAACACACACACACACACTGTGAGGGGAGCATTGTGATCAGCCCCCTCCTCAACAGATGGTGTAGAGGATGAGGGACCGACAAGAGATAATCTGTGATTACATATTATATAGAATATTTTGATTATCATTGTGGTTATAAATTCAAAATCAGATATACCTCACAAACCTTTCCATTTGCGATCATCTGCTTAGTAGTCAAAGCTAATATGTATGACTCAGAAATGTTAGATTTTAAGCCATATTACAACTGAGCGTGGTGCTTTATAAACTCCTCATATAGAAATTGACAATGTGCAGATTTGTTGCCTTTAGAGATC